TAGCGCAGAATGGCAGCCACGCCTCTGTCAGTCTGCCCCAGGGCAGCTGTGGCTATAATCGTAGCTTACCACCACTGGAATGAATGTGTGTGAATGAATAATTGACAGTTGATTATATGCGCTTTGAGTTACTCCTTGAGTAAGAAAAGCGCTATATAAATCTAATCAATTATTATTATTATAATAAATTTTGTAAATAGTGCTTTCATTTAATTTTAAAGTGATTAGTCAGTATCTTTAGCTCTTCTGCTTCATGTATGTATGAATGTATTTTAACATAGATGTGGATGTATGAGTTTCTGTCTCTGTACTTGACAGTCCTCCACACTGGTAAACGCTGGTTTATCATCTGCCCTGTGGCCGAAACACCCATGCTGGACAAAGAGAATACTACATCGCACTCCTCTACAGCCCAGGGTATACTGCACACTCAAAACTATTCAGTGCTTTTTATTTTTCTGTCATGTCTTCAGATTAATTACTCACTAAGTCAAAATCTTTCATAGGAGAATTTGTTTAACATGGATAATATTTTCTAAAAAATAAAATTAGATGTTTGTCTTACTTGCTGTTATTACTGAAGACGCTGCACATGCATTAGAGTGTGCATCTGCACAGTTCAGCCGCTGGGGTCAGTTATATAAGAGTGCTTCTGCAGTGGTTCTAGGCAGAAATGAAGGGCAGGATTTATACTCCAGCTGACATAGCCTGATGGGGGGAAGACGAGCAATGATGTAACACTCTGGCACCCACAGGACCTAGCTCCTCTTCTTCACAGCCTTGGCTGTTTAACTCCCAATCTGTTCTCCTCCTAATTAACTCTGATCTCTATTTTTCTAGAATCTGAAAAATCTGGCTCATTGTCAGTCAGGCCCAACAGCAACACAGCTGCAGTGACTACCCCAGTCGCATCTTTATCCTCCCAAAGCCAGTCCTCTTCCTCTTCTCTGCCCACTGCAGCTCAGACTTCAGTGCAGCCTTCGGACCAAATCGCTGGCCAAGCCCGGGTCCAGCAGACGCAGCCCTGTGTAAATAAACATGCCCATGCTGCTGGTGGCATGACCCATCAAAACTCACTTCCTGCGGAAGAACCTTGTATCTCTGCTGTCTCTATGGTAACAGATATGCCATGCTGCGCTATTGTACCACCTGTCTCTCTGGATGTGAATGCCTTTGATAAAGTAGCAGCTGGTGGTTTGGTCTCATCTCAAACTAATCAACCAGTTCAGAAGGCCAGCCCAATTGGAGAACTACCCCCTCAGCTGGCCTCCCATCAGTCTGTGGTCCTGCAGCAACCCTATGCCACACCCATGCAGCCTGGCACAGTGACCTCCCAGCCCCAGAGTCCAGCACATCAGACCTCCCAGAACTCCCAGTCATCAAGCCAGCAGCAGAGTGGGGGGCCAGGGGAGTCAGACAGTGAGGGGCCTCGCAGGGTGGAGTTTGTTGACCGCACCATCAAGACCTTGGATGAGAAGCTGAGAAACCTGTTATACCAAGAGCACACTCCCTCCCAGCCCTCCAGCGCTACGTCTGATGCCCAGGCCTCCAGCACAGAAGGAGTCAGCTCCCCTCCAGTCTCAGATGGGCAGAGCACTGAGGGACCACTTACAAAGAAGAAGGGGGAACCACTGGTAAATGTGTGTGTGTGAGAGAGAGAGAGAACTGTGAGAATTTATACATTGTTTAGGAGCTATGTTGAATCATTTCTCTGCGCTGTGCTATTAATTTGATGATTGGCTTTAAAGCGCAATGCCAGTGCTGTGTTTAGAAAAGGGGTAGGGTAACATAATTTCTGCTGTCACCACGGTAATTCATCCTGAACTTTTGCCCTCATTTTGTGTGCATGCATGCAACCAAAAACACAACAGGTTCTGACTCATTCACACAAACATGAGGTCAGGAGAGGATAATAGTTAGCCTAACCACACTGATCTAGTGTTTGTAATGTTTTATAATTTGCCTCTTTTAAAATGATTGCAACTTCCCACACACACACACACACCCTCTTTCTCTCTTTCTCCGTTAGCCTCAGATTCCTGAGCGCACAGATAGTGTGGGTGCATTAAGTGACTCTGCAGTGGCAGGTAGGTAACATTATTTATGTAATGTCCATATCACATTACTACTGCATAATAGTTTGAAAATGGCTTGTTTTTAAAGAAATTCTCTCTTTAGCCACAAACAGGGTTTTGAACAAAAGAGATGTGACGACTGGCTCCAGTTCTTATAGCTCCAAAAGCCGTTTTCAAGTAAGAATCCACTTTGAAATTCTTAACGAGTAAATCTGCTCAATATAAATGTCATTTGACCAAATTAAATTGTATTACAGGTTATGGCTTATGCCACTGTTTGTTCTGTTTCCAGTTTGTTGCTGATACATTGCATTAGTTGATAATGTTTATGGACCCTAATTTTGTTATGAACATGGGCTTCTCGTCCCTCCAGATCATCCCAACTCCACCGGATGTCATTTGTCGTTTGGAGAAAAGCAAGACAAGCTGCAGCACCTGCAGTTCCCCAGCCCCCTCTAGTGGTTCTGGAGGGTCTCACAGTCAGACCCAGAGTACGAGTCTGAAAGAGAAGGGCTGTGCAGCTGTACGTACATCCTCTGTGACAGCTGGAGCTGATGATGAGAATGCAGGAACATCCAAATCTCACAATAGTAACCGTTACTCTGCCCCACCAAACTTCTACCAGGCCACACCCACCTCTAGTCCCGATGCCACCCCACGCCATATCCCCCGGGCCCAGACCATGGACGCTTCGACCCATCACCACTGTCACCACTCGTCTCACCTCTACTCTGACTCTGCAGATGAGGACAGCAGCAGCATAGCCCCTCCTCCAGCGCACCCTGCTCCTCCAGCTCATACCCTTTCTGAGCACAGTGGAAGTGACCTCATGAAGAGGGCCGTTGCCTTCTTGAGGAGATCTGGTAGGAGCAAAAGTGAGCAGAGCTCTGATTCACCAAGCCGTCAACCGGTGGCAATGAATGGTCACACTCCTTCGCCGTCTGCTGGACATGCCCACTCATCTTACATCAGCAGTGACAATGACTCCGAGTTTGAAGATGCAGACATGAGGAAAGAACTGCAGAAACTTCGAGAAAAGTAAAGTCATTTACACGTGTTTGCATTCACCAACATCTGCACAGATGTGTTGCAGCAGTGCATTTATGAAACCCTTTTTTAGACATGTTTTGTGTTTCCTATGTATTTTCAGTTCTAATAGTGTGACTACTCTAAATACAAAAGTGGTTAGAATTTATTGAATATCAAAATCATTTTTTGCTGCAATCAAGCATTTAGTTTAACAATATAAGTAAATGTTGCAAGAATCTGGTGGATACAGGATACATTTAAATCTAACAACCTCATTTCTGATCATATAATGAGATGTTGGACCTGTATTGACTGTTTGCTAGTGGTGTATGTGCAGGTACAGCTCTCTCCATACTTGTCAGACATCTGCATGACCTGATTCAGATTTACAGCATTTGGCTAACAAAAGAGTGCATATATTACAGAAGAATATTATTATCCAGAACATCTGCAATTAGTAAACATTCAGTACAGTTAGTAAACCATAACTCAGCAGTGCAAGTAGGAACATTGTTCTGTGCTGGCAACTGAGGTATCCAGAAGTAATGGTTTTCAACAAGTGGCTGCTTTAGCAAATATCAATATCCCAACCTTGTTAATACTAGGTATGTCATTAATTTTGCCAAAATTTTGTAATGTAACTTATTTGGCTTTCAAAACATGATGGTCCTAAGTACAGTGTGTTAGTCACTGCTTTTCTAACTATTTTTAGCTGCTAAATGCTAAATTTTCACATTACTGGAATCTTAATACTGCTAAACTAAATGCACATTGGTATTCTAACAAAAAGGAAAAAACCTAAGTGTTTTCTTTTCCTGAGCTCATCAAAAGCTTCAGTGTTGGTGTGGTGTGATTAAATACCCATGGCCAATCGAATATAATCATTGCCTCTTGGTTCCTGAGACTGAATGACACATCATGTGGCCTACACATCTTGGACCAAATTTCAGCCAGTGATCTTTATCTCAATATTGTCAGTGACGCTAATGGTCATATAAAAGCATCCAAATTAGTAATGTCCCATTATGTGCACGTTTGTCTGCTGAATCTGCACAACTTGTGTCTAAAAGATGAGCAGAGGTTTTTGAATAACTTAATAACCTGACACACTCAGCAGGAGAAGATGTCTCTTGATGCAAGAATCATTTTTGTGTACTGTTGAGGATGGTTTTGTGGAAAAGGTGAAGCCTAAATTACTGAAGGAACAAACAAAAAAAAATGTGACAGCCTGTAATATGTGAGTAATCTTGAAGAAATGTTTTAAGCCAATTTCTGTCTGCTCTCTTCCTGTACCTTCTCACTAGACACATGAAGGAGATCTCGGAGCTGCAGGCGTTCCAAAGGAGTGAGATTGAGCGTCTGTACACGGATCTGGGAAAAACTCTGCCCCCCAATGTCAGTCTTCTTCATGCTGCACCCCCAACTGGTCGTAGGCGCAGGGCCAGCAAACACAAGCTGAAAGCTGGAAAACTGCTCAATCCGATGGTGCAGCAGCTCAAAAACAACCTCAACGCCACCAGTATTGAGAGGAAAGGTGTGTGTGGGTTGAGATTGTGGTTTATGAGTGCTTTGTGTAATGATTTGTGTGTATGGAAGAGCATTTTCAGTCAGAAGCACTCATTTTGTCTGTAGAAGACACAGGAATGGCATTATGTTCAGAAAACCGTAGGAGTTTGTGATTCACAGTGACTCACTCTGACTCATACATTTTTTCTTTTTTTCTTAAACCAAGGTGATAGCGGTGCCAGTTCATCCGGCTCCCCAGCTAAAAGCTCAGTTCTGTCAGATGGCTCTGCCCACTCCAGTGGCAGCTCCAGCTCCAGCAATCAGCCCAGCTCCGCCCCAGAGCAGGTCCACACACAGCAACCCTGTTCCTTGAAGGGCTCTTTCTCCTCAGACAACATCTACGCTGGGCTTCATGGTGATGGAATAGCCAACCAAGCTGGCCCTGGCCAAGGTACACATTATAGGGTCATGTGCATGCTGGTGTGTGCGCGCGTGCGTATGGTGGTTTAAAATTCTTAATGTTGTCCATATTGTCTCTTCACAACATTTTGCAAACTGAAGGATGAAGGACTGCCTCATTTTAGCAACTGGAAAAGATATACTTAAGATATTGCTGGAAAATTTTCAAAACTACATATATATTTTCAGTGAAGTCATGTTAGACATGCAGATTTGTAAATCCACTTATCAGATAGGCACCGTCAGATTGAGGAAAGAAGTGGCACTTGTGCTATAAATCAGTATGCACATTGAGTCCTGGCATTCATCTGTGTCACAAGTAATACAGATGCAATTATTCGGAATTTCAAAGCTGTTAAAGTTAACTGATAACTGACTGAAGACTAAGGCCATCCAGTAATTTAGCTGTTAGGCATCAGCAAGTTTTAAATTTGTAAATTTACATCTGTAAATTGGAGTCATACTTTGTTTAATGTAGCATAAAAAATAGATCTAGCAAAAGAAAATGGAGTTGCTATACAGTGTATGCTCAGAACTTAAAACATGAAATGAAGATGGACGGTTATTCAGTCAATTTGCAAAATTCTGCAATAATAAGAATAGGCATGGACAGTAATAACAAATATTTAGAATTACTTACTAACTTAAATAACTAACTACAAAGACTAGTATGTGGCTCACTGGGTTTCAGTCGCCAAAATATAACCAAAATATTAACTAAGCTGCTTATTGGTCTATGAAAGTTAGAAAATTGCACAAAAAAAGATACTGAAAGTCTAAAAGCTTGGTCGCTGTACTCTTGAGCCATGTTTTCTCACAACAGGTAGCAAAACATGTTTTTTGTAGTAAGTCATGAATATAGAGAATTTTTAGTGACAACAGAATCTTTGCAAAATGTCCCAAATATGCACATATGCTACCAGAATGTGCCAGAGTAAATGTTCTATTTGTTTTTCAACAGAAGAATTTATTGCTGCTTTTTATTTTTAAATTAAAGCTAGTGAAAATTAATCTAAACTGTAAATATTGTATACACTTATATTTGACCCCATCAAAGAAATATAAATAAATAGCCAAGCAATCCTACTGACCCTCCACAGGACCTTTACCTGATTCTTTTTCCCCCAGCACCCCTAATTAGGCTCTCTATTATCAGTTTTAATTATTACATGAAACTCCATTATCAGGCTGATTTAAAAATAGTTTCCCATTCATCACCAGATAATCCAGTGAGCTCCTGCATATCGTGCACTTCTTCTTTGGTGTCCTTTTCTGGTGCTTTTGATGGTGGGGGTTTCTCATCCCAGTCTATTTGCACTTTTACAAAGTGTCTCTCTTGTTTCTTCTCTTCTTCCCTCTTATATTCATTTTTACAGGCTGGACGGTTTACCACCAAACGTCAGAGAGAGTCACCTATAAATCTAGTAGCAAACCACGCACTAGATTCCTCAGTGGACCTGTGTCTCTGTCCATCTGTTTGTATTTGTTCTTTTCTATTTCCCCTCACTCATTTCCATCTTCTCTTTATTTAACCTGCCTCTTTCTTCTATCAACCCATTTTTATATATAAATATATATATATAATACAGTCTATATTTTATTTCACCCTTCTCGAAGGCCTCCTCACCTGACATTCATCACCCATTTTCTATTCCGACCACTCACACTTTCCTCAAAGCTTGTGTTCTGTATGATTTTTTTTTTCTCTTACTGCCAGAGGATATCCACCACATGCACACATTATGTTATGCTAAACTCATACAAAATCAGCTCAATCTGGATAACATAGGCACACATTCCCAAAATACAAGGCTTGTACAACCAGGAAATGTTTCTTGCCCTTAAAAAAAACAGTCAAAGAGCCAATCTGAGTAGTTCGTGTTTTAGTTTCTGATTTTGCTCAAAGTCCCTTAATCTTTTACTGCTGTTAGATCTTATAATTGGTGCATAGGTGTTTGTGGACACTTCTTTGTGGTACTTAAAGATAGATATCAGCAGTGTTGGTTCCCAGCCTTGTCTTTTTTTTAAAAAAGAGCTCAGTAATTATGAATTCCATAATAAAATCCTGTGTCCCCTTGAAGCATAAAGCTCAGCCCTAATTTAATACCAAGTCGCCACCTGGTTTGAAATAGTTGTTTTGCATTTCTTAAGCATCTTTTGTCTGAACCAAAATATTTACACTGCATCCCGGTGGGACAAGAGTAACTATATCTGTGACAAAGACATTATCTAAACACGATTGTTGCTTCAAAGTGAATTAATTCTGATGTCTGTTTGTAGATTATAAAATTGTGTGACTTTGGTGTACCCCAGTAGTAGTTTGACAAAAGATGGTGTGATAGGCATCAGTTTACGCATGGTTAAAATATGAAAGGATTTAAATTCAGCACCAATTCAAACAGTAAATTTGAAAATACATTTTGGGGATTGACACTGAAATCTATGTTGTAGATAAAGATATCTCAGTTGTCTCTGAACAACTGATTCATAATGCCTTCGTACGTGTTGCACCTTATGCAGGCATTAAGACCTGATGTCTAAATGATAGCTGTTTTTTTGGAAGTTAAAAATGTTTTTTCATGCCGACAGGTATAGAGCTATTCCTGCTCCTCTTGGTATTAGCCCCGAGTTAATTCACTGTCTGCACCGATCATTCCCTTGTCTTATAGTTGTGCTTTGTTGTATATTTGCACTCTGCTACTTGGCCAGCTCGCTTTCTGAGAGTATTACTCACAAAAAGAGTAACTCCACTGTTTCTGTGAATTCAAAATGACCCTTAAGAGCCAAATTGAAGAATGCTGGTGACCAGATTGAAAAGGAAACATTTCAAGGCTGTGCTGCCTCTTATGCATCCAAGTGTGTGGTCTTTAATAACTAGGCTGCAAGTAGCTTTGATGTAATAAGTACCTGTATCAGTACACAGTCTTTCCTCTGGCAATCATCCACAACTCACAGAACAGCAGTTACATTCATAACTATTAATTTGTGGGTATATTGCCCCCTTCCCCTCTCATATAATTGCTTTGTGCAGTGCTTCTGGCTTAAAAAAAACAAAAAAAAGAGACCCCACAAGCACACCGGGGCTTGTGAATGGCTAGTCCTGTCCAAACATGGGCCTGGGGTCAGATCTAAAATAAGGCAGTGTACCTGTTGGTATAAGTGTGTGTGTATGTGTGTGTGTCTATATGTGTGAGAGAATGCCTGAGTGTTTATCCCCTATTTATTTGTTGTGTCTTTCCATCCACTGTTAATTTTGATTGTAAAACATCTCCCAAGTCGAGGCACTTTGCCAAAGTCTGCAATCCTGTGTGTACTAACACAGAGAAAATCCCCCAACCCTCCCCCTGGTAGACAGGGCCCCTTACTATGGTAAAGGAGAGCTCTCTCCGTCCCTCATGTTTGGATGGAGAAGACGTGCATGGTGCAGGCGCCAGGCAGGGCACTGATGGAGACTTGCTCCGCCATATGAAGGGCTGTATCATTAATATTACTATTTTGTTTTCCTCCTTTCACCTCTCCTGAGTTATCTGCATGTTTCTTACAAGTGCTGACTCTATTGAGTTCCAGCTAGTATCTGTGTGCTCTTTCAGTTTTATTTATTTCGGTTTCACATTTTGTTTCACAGGCATTCTCACATCGACAAAGGGATCTCTTTTTTCCAGTCTTCCTTTCATAGAAAACATAATTTTCTTGGTAGGATCTCTCTTTAGAAACTCATGGGCCAGTAATTCATACTAAATCTTAAAATCAAATACATCCAAATGATTGGCCTTTCAAAGGCATTTAAGATGATAGTTGCTGCATTTTACGCAAGTTCTGTCCAACCCAGTATTGTAAAGAAAAGAAAATGCTGTCACTTTATTTACATTCGACATAAATACATTCCTGACGAGGTCATTAGAATAGCAGGAACTGACTGAACACGCAGCATCACAAGCCAAGGCAAAGTGTGCTTTCTCCTATGCTTGTTAGGAACACTTTCTAAGAGTCAAGTTTCATTTTAAAGAATACACCTAGTCTCTTCCTTGCAGTCCTCCTCACTGATTTTTAAACCCCTTTCCTCCTTTTCCTCTTTCTCTCTCCCCAATTGTTTTAATAGCTGAATGTGCTTTTGAAGCAGCTTGTCCACATACTTGTGGTGTGCAGTGTGTCCTGGCCTAACTGTTTCTGTGTTGTGCTGTTTTACCTTTTTATAGGGTCCACTCTGAAACGACTATGTCTAGGCAAAGAGCGCAGTAGTAGTAACTATCTCATTTACTTTCTTACTCTCTGTCTTTCTTACCCTGTCCTCACTATTTTAGTCCTTATGTTTGTACACTTGTTTTCTCTGTATTGTTTTGGCACTTGGAAATGTGGCAATTCTTGTTGAAGATGTGGGAACTCTACAGATTTTTTGCATTAATTTACGTTTCTTGTTTTGCATGGCAATGTGCCTACAAGTCTTGATTGCTGAAATTTGTCATTGCTTGCATATCAAACATTTCATTTTTCTGTAAATCCTCATGAAAGTTGTGTATGTTGTAATCCTTTGGCTGCTATGTTGGCAAAATATGTATCACAATTGTAGCTGTATACACATTTACTCTAACTTCATTAAAATCATTAGGACTTTGAAAGGCTTTTATGAAGGTGACATTGTAGGTTCATTATGTTAAAAGTGCCCTGAATTCTGCCATGCAGCAGCCAATTGATTTGACAGTCGATCCTTTTTTTTTTCCTCTTGTTGTTTTCGAACTACGCAGACTTTTAAGACTTTTGTGTCTTTACAGGGTCCTCTCTCAACACCACCACAGCTCAGACAGCCTCGGGTCAGACCCAGCCGTCGCTCACTGCTGCCACACCCTCACCCTCTCCTCAACCAATTACACGGCTCGCACAGGTCCAGACCAACAACAGCAACAACAAGAGAGGCACGTTTACAGATGACCTTCACAAACTGGTGGATGACTGGACAAAGGAGACTGTAGCAGCGGCGAGTCAACCACGACCCTCCCTGAACCAGATAAAACAGCAGAGACGCCAGCAGGACCTGGAAGGCAGAGTGCCACCTACCGGAGCAGTTCAACGTGAGGTATTTGGAATTAAGATGTGCAGTCAGTGACAGAGGGGATTCACATTTTTGAATATGAGTCAGTCTATGCACTATTTGGTACAACAGCTCCCTTCTGTTCCAGATGAAATGCCATGTTGGTCCCAGCAAGTTCCAGCTGCCACTTTCATGCCCCCTGACTGCTGCTTTAGGCCCTGGTATGCCTGCATCTCTAGCTCCAAACTCCTCTGCAATGCTCTCTCCTGGCTACCTTCTGCCAGTAGGCTCCTATGGCGGGATGGTTCCTGGTCCTCTTTATGCCCAGCAGTGGCCTGGCATGCCTAGCCCTGTAGGGTCTGCGGTTCCTGTAGGCTTGCTTGGTGCTGCAAGAATGATGCCCTATGCTACAATGTCAAACCCAGGGATTCAAGCCTACCCTCTGGTCATGCACAAAACTGAGAACGGCCCCTGTCCAAAAACCACTAGGACTACCTGATCTGCTCAATGAAATTTGTTAGTGTGTGTGTGTGCAAGACAGTCCAACTCTACTCTGTTCATCGGAGCCACACATGTACATAGTCTGGTCTTGTAAATAACATGACGCAAGTGTTGATATTCTTTATACACTGCATATATCTGTAGTAAATTGTGTGTGTACGTATGAGCGTATACTATACAGTACATGTTAAGTAAGTATGTCTGAATGCCTAATGCTTTTTGGCTTTGGTCTTAACAGCCATACGAGACGTTTTATCTGCGGTCACAAAAATCATATTTCACTTTATTCTTCATTACTGCAGTTTTCACATTGCTTTTGCCTTTCTGTGTTGCGGACACTTTTTAAACACTACATTGGAATCCAAATACCAGTGGCTTGAGACGCAGTAACAGGACAGTATTTATGATGAAAATATTTGAACGAATGTAGTGCCTTGAACATTGATTTATATATTTTTTTTTCCTTTTGTGAAACAAAGCATGTCTGCATCCAAGTTATTTTATTTGAAGGTAGCTTGAGTGCAGTCTTTTTTTTTTTTTTTTTTTAAATGCATTACAGACAACTTTGTTTTTGGTTTACATATGAATGCCCTTGTAGTACTGCACTATTATCACAGTATATAGTCTTATTTAAATCCTGTTTTAACTCTTTTTTTTTTTTTTTACTTTCCACCCCTGTGACAGATGGAATGCCATAGTGGTGAGATGTACCGATGCCTTGCAGAAACAAATGGTTAATGTACAACTGATGAGGGAAGGAAAAAAAAAAAAAAAAACGCCAGCAGCCAAAATCCACTCATTCAGGTGAAATGGTTCAGCTGGACACAGCCTCTTTTTGATAGGACAACAGATGCGTAGGACAGCACGAGAGCTGTCAGTGTTGTAGCCTTGTGCTCAGAGGAAAGGCAGTGTCCAGAGCCATACATACTGTACATAGTTCTTTCTACAGTATATGCCTCTGGTAGTGTTCTGATCAGAATGTAGCAATTAATATGTGAAGGCTTGAGGCTCAAAAGTGCAATTCAACCCCTCCACAAAGCTTTGATCGTGGCCTTGCCACAAGCCTTATCTCCGATGTGTGCAACAGGAGCAAGCTGAGAAGTTGAACAAAGTTACAAATCACCAAGCACCAGACAGTAGTTACCAAGAAAAGTATAAATATTACAAACCACCCAGCAAACTCTGAATTCACTATTGCTAAATGTTCTTTCAACTTGGCTCGTACTCAGCATACACTGTATGTAAAATGTTCTGTGCAATCAACAGTTAAGGCTGACGTTTTTAACTTATTCGATGTGTAAAGTGTGATTTTTTTTTTTGTTTATTTTTTTGGAATGCTGCTATTGTCTGTCAAGGTGATTCCACTGTATAGTCAAGCATTCTGCTCACTTACGACGGTACTTCAAAATAAGAGTCCTCCAATTAAATTAACAAATGAAATGCTCACAAAGCAGTGTTATTGCCTTGTTGAAATTTTGATGTCTTGATTTCACAGGTCGTTTTTAAAGACAGCCTCTTTTTTTGTTTGTTTTTTTTTCTTTTCTTTTCAATAATATATTGCAAAATTCAAATGATACTTGATGTGGGAGATTTGCACAAAATATAGTCTCCCTTTATTCTATGTTAGAGTTCCTACACTGTATATAATGGGTTTCGCCCGCCTGTACTTTTTTTATCACTGACAAGCATGGCCAACTTTTCATGTTCCACAAAGCAAAGATAAACAATACAGCTACTATGGTTATAATTCTCACTTCTCCACAACACATTTGAAAGGTTTCAGCACCCCAATCCTGCCAAGCTGTGAACTGTACAGTTTTCTTGTAGTTTGTATTTGTACATTTTGTTTGTTTGACTGTTTAGGGGTGGTGGTGGAGGAGGGGTTGCTTTGATGTATATTATTCCATCAATTCGGTTTGAATTGGACTTTTATAGGATATTATGCAGAGTCTTCTGCTTTGGTGAAATACTTCCAGTAGTAAGAGATTTCTGTTCTCTGTCACTTGTATCTGGTATGTTTTGTTCCACCTCCCTCGCTGCAAACTCATGGAGAGCAGAGGAGGGAACAGCTATAGCTGGCATATTCATTTGGATGCAGTGATCAAACTGGAGAGCTGAAGTGCACAGAGGAGGAGGAGGAGGAAGAGGAGGAGGAGGAGGAGCAGTGCTGACTCCTTTTCCTCTGCTCGTCTCACTTTTCTCTGGACAACATTGCCCCCTGGTGAATATGCTCAGATTGTCAAAAGCTTGTATTCAAACTGTGTGGGATTGCTTTTGCCTGCTGTATGTCCCACTGCATTACCCCACCCTATCCTGCTGCACTCTTATCACAGACTGTATGTTGAGAGAGAGAAATAAATATTATTTTGTGCTTGATGGTCTGTCTCATTGTTGTTATTTCCATTTGGATGCATTTAGTCTGTCACACTAAAATAGCATTTAGGATTTGTTTCACACTGATGGAGTTTCAAAAATATTTTTTACATTGAAAAAAAATAGGAGATATGTTTATAATTCCATAATTTACAGGGGTGATTTCTTTAAATTATTTTACAATTAGTGTTGCTAGACTGATTTGAAAAGTCTGTTCATGCAGGCCAGACTTCTATCTTTGAAACGAAGCCACAGATTCGCAACATTCAACGCGGAACCTGTGGGGAAGTATTTGACATCAAAATAAATCACTCAGCTGACTCTGTGAAGAAATATAATTTATACGATCGTGAAATCTCTTCTCAACGCTTCCCACGGACTCCATTTTAGTCGAGAAGTAGGTCCTGCTTTGTGTGGCGAATGTGTCGACCCGCGTCTACGGCGGCGTAGCGCTACAGCAATGGTTGCCCCTTTTGTTCAAGCGAGTTCCTGAATTATTCCCAACACAATGAAATGATCGGGATAGTATATGGTTTCATCAAAACATTTCACTGTACCTACGCTTCCCGGGATCTCATCTGGGATCATCTAATGAATTAAAAATCGATCTACAACCCTTCTGAGCTGCTGTGAGGTTTCCGACGCACGCAGTCTTGAGGAACGTGGAGTAGTAAGTGTTTATAACGTTAGTACAGCTCTGTAGCGTTAGCGATAAACGGTGGGAAACGGGGCTCGTTTTCTACATTTTGCCAATTGAAAGGTAATTATTGCTGCAATTTTTTTTGCGGTAGTTGAAGTAATTCAGATTAGCCCACTGTAGCCTGAAAACACGAAGTGACGTTAGTAGAGCCCCGATGCGAAATAAGCATGCCTGGCTATTTTACCTCATACCGCAAAGCATTTCAGACATTTTTAGCTGCTAAGATGCTAAGTGGTTGATGGAGCTCGGCTTGATTAAGTCTCACACACGCTACTGTTGTGCGGTAACCTCATGAAATCAGACGTTAAACTGTCATTTTGCTGCACAGTGTCTGGGATTTACAGGGTGAGGTCATTGTGGAGGGAAACGCTGCTGCTGAATGGTCATCTTAGTTACAGTCAGACTACAGTGTTTGTAACTTCAAACACTTTTGTGTTGTATTTCTTGTTAACTGGCTGAACTATGTACATAAAGAAGCCGTGTAACGTTTACATCAGTGTCTGTGTGGCTAACGCTGGCTGTGAGGATGCAGCTACAGTGTAGCAGGAGAATTAAACGTTACTGAGCTGAATGAAACACTGAGCGACGGTTAGGATGCACAAATACAGTTAGCTAGTTTGTACCCTCACTGTGTGTCTTGTAGCTGTACTCCTTAGCTGTGCTCTTTGGGAAGTGACTGTCTGTTGTTATTTGCTAGCCTCTGTTAGCTTGCTGGCTAACAGCAGCCCGCAATGTTTCATTGTTTTGGGCTAACGCTAACGTTAGCTGGGTTAAAATGCATTTACTTGTGTGCTTGTGTCGGGGGGCTCTCCGGTTTGCTAAAATGTTCTCCCTGTACACTTGGTCTCGCCGGATTTTGTTTGAAGGCATGGACTGCGAACGAGCTGGAATTTACAATCAGCTGCTTTGCCTTTCGTTTCAAATGCAAGATAACTTCACACGGCTGTAGCATCATAAACAACAATATTGACCTAAATTGCACCTGTTACTGGGAAACAGAACATAACAATTTGTTTGCTCCTGGGAGTTGGGGGGTACGGTCACGTGACTGCACCATAACAGGTGCACAACGTGCAGGCACGACTTGTCTAGACTGGTCTCTGCATCACTTCATTAACAAAACCTAATTGTGTAACTAAACTGCTGTACTTTAAATGCACAGCATTGCAGTCTGAATGAAATCATGCATCCCCTGTTTGTCCCTCTGTTTCAGATGTAAACGTGAACACCATCTGTCCCAGCAGTGGCTGTTGGCACAATGGGGCTGGACTTTGATGTAAAGACATTCTGTCACAATCTGCGGGCCACAAAGCCCCCTTATGAGTGCCCCGTGGAGACTTGCCGTAAGGTCTACAAGAGCTACAGCGGCATCGAGTACCACCTTTACCACTATGACCATGACAACCCAACCCCTGCGCAGACTGTGCCCCAGAAGAAGAGGAAGGGACGGCCTCCTCGTGCCTCGCTGGCTGGCTCAGGGGATACAGACGACGGCGGAGGCAACGGGGGAGGAGGAGGAGGACCGGGTCATGGGGGGAACACACCTGGTAGCCCCAACCGGTCGGAGCGCTCCCACTCTCCAGGGAGGGAGACCATGACTTACGCCCAGGCGCAGCGCATGGTGGAGCTGGAGATTCAAGGGCGCATTCACCGCATCAGCATCTTTGAGAACATTGACGTGGTGTCAGAGGAGGACAGTGATGCAGAGGATGCTCCACCGTCTGGGACTGGTAGCAGCGGTGGAGGGGTGTGCAACGGCAATGACGGCGGCGCTGGGGGTAGCGAGGTAGGCGGCAGTGGCAAGGACCGCTCGGATATCCCATCTTCGAATGGGGGCAAAGCCACTCCAAAGTCTGGCAAGCATAAGAGTAAAGAGAAGAAGAAGGACGGTTCATCGCATCACCACAGTGCTCAGTCTGGTCCTGCAGTCAAGCTCCCTGAGGCGGTGTTCAGAGAACTGGACCAAGAAAGACCTGATGCCCCTCCTCGGCCGTCATCGTACTACAGGTCTGCAGTGAGAATTGTTATCTGATTTCACAGGCAGGTGGAAGGCTTAGAGGCAGGATTATTGATAAGGAAATGATAGGCTTTTTAAAGACCCTGACATATTATTTCACACAGGTTGCTTGCAGTTGTATGGCTCACTCTTGATCATGTATCAGGAAACTTCACCTCAGACTCCTCCATGCTATTCTCTCATTATGTCCTCTTCCTACAGAAAGTTTAAGTTGGTATTGATCCTTTGCTCTTAGTGAATTGCATTTGTTTTTGTTTTAAAAATATGTACCCATTGTACGAATTCTGGACTTCAGGTACATTGATAAGTCTGTGGAGGAGCTGGATGAGGAGGTTGAGTATGACATTGACGAGGAGGACTACATATGGCTTGACATCATGAACGACAAACGGCGGCGTGACGGCGTGACACCCATCCCTCAGGAGGTCTTTGAGTACCTAATGGACCGCTTAGAGAAGGAGTCCTACTTTGAGAGCCACAACAAGGTACCTGGACTCGGATGTTTCAGTGTTCAGGTAATATTTTAACACCGAACACGTATAGATTTCTACATTCAACTCTGGTGTGTTGTTGTGCTCCTTTCTCTCAGGCCGACCCCAGCACCTTAATCGATGAAGATGCTGTCTGCTGCATCTGTAATGACGGAGAGTGTCAAAACAGCAACGTGATCCTGTTTTGCGACATGTGTAATCTGGCAGTACACCAGGAGTGCTATGGTGTCCCTTATATCCCAGAGGGCCAGTGGTTATGTCGTCGCTGCCTGCAGTCACCGAGCAGAGCTGTGGACTGTGCACTGTGTCCTAACAAGGGAGGCGCTTTCAAACAGACAGACGACGCACGCTGGGCTCATGTAGTGTGCGCCCTCTGGATCCCAGAGGTAAATCCATACATCAGTGCATGCATGTTTGATTAGAATTACATAATCATGCAGATATTGAGGTACTCTGCATTGTCCAGGGCTGTTAGAATGATGCACAAGTGCAATGCATGTTAAGTGAAAGCACCAGATGTATAAATTAAAGAGTGATTTATAGACAGATGAACATCGTCATGGTTAATGTACCATTTCGCAACGCTCAGTCAGTCTGCTGTCTCGTTGACCCTTTTTGCATTATCTCAGTAAAAATAATTTTGCTGCCATTCCTTAGGTCTGCTTTGCAAACACAGTCTTCCTGGAGCCAATCGATAGCATCGAGCACATCCCTCCTGCACGCTGGAAGCTCACCTGCTACATCTGCAAACAGCGCGGCTCAGGCGCCTGCATCCAGTGTCACAAAGCCAACTGTTACACTGCTTTTCACGTCACCTGTGCCCAGCAGGCAGGCCTCTATATGAAAATGGAGCCTGTCAGAGAGACTGGGGCCAACGGCACCTCTTTTAGCGTCCGCAAGACGGCGTACTGTGACATCCACACGCCCCCAGGATCAGCTCGACCTTTGGGAGGAGTAGGTGGAGCCAGCATGGGGTCGTCTCACAGCGATGGAGAGCTGGAGGAGGACGATGAGCCCAGCATCGGCCACGATGATGACTCCAAGGGCTGGAGCTCTGAACGAGTGAAGAGGGCAAAGGCCAAATCCAGGCTGAAGATGAAAAGAGCGAGAAAAATCTTAGCCGAGAGGAGAGCTGCTGCACCAGTGGTCTCGGTGCCCTGCATACCTCCCCACAGGTAGGCATAGGACTTCACCTGCACTGAATGTATTTCAAAGTTCCAAAAAAATGTTGGTTGTCTTTTAGTAGAAAACGGTTTGGGAAACTAGTCAACCAAAACCAGGGTTTTTTTTCTGGGCATATGTAGGATGTACTCTGTCAGAAATCAATGTATTTTCGTATTATTTTTTTATATATATTAATTAACAAAAATGTATATTGTGCTTGAGTAAATGAAACTTAAGTTTAAAGAAGACTGGTTTTTTTAAAAAGTAGTTTTTTTATTTCTTAATTTTTTAAATTTAGGCACTGATCATTTCTTTTGGTGCTGGCTAAAACCTTTATGTGGGGGGCAAATATTGCTCTTTGCGGGGAAAACCCTGAAAATCAGAACCATCCCTTGGAAGAATAAATTAGGTCCATGTTGCTGTTTTTTTATTGCATACTAATCTGCAAGTGCTATTAAGCAATATGTCCAGAACCATTCAAGACAAGGAAGATATTCCTTATGACAAGAGCCTTATATTGATGACATGGAAGTCCACAAGTTTAAGCAACCATTTCTTCTCTCTAGGCTCAGCAAAATCACCAGTAACTTAACAGTACCCAGGAAAAGCCAGTTCATGCAGCGACTTCACAGCTACTGGACGCTGAAGAGGCAAAGTCGCAATGGTGTGCCACTATTGCGGCGGCTTCAAACCCACCTTCAGTCACAGCGACATATTGACCCGCTCCCACCGCAGCCTTCATCGCAGCTTCCTTCGGTAAATCTTTGTGTACGTTGCTATTAATTTGTGATTATTATATCTGTGTCTGTCATAGCATGTTCATGTGTTTGTGCATTTTGCTGTTGCAGAGGGACAGTGAGGAGAAACAGTCGGCTTTAAAGGAGCAGCTTAAGGCATGGCAGAGACTGAGACACGACCTGGAAAGAGCGAGGTTACTGGTGGAGCTCATCCGCAAGAGGGAAAAACTCAAGAGGGAAACGGTGAGACACAAATTCCATTAAGCTCTGTCAGCAACAGGTATCAAAACCAACAGTGAGCTGTATAGAGCAGTGATTAGTGTTTCATTTCTGTAGGTCAGTCTGAGTCAAATTTGCTTACACATACACACTTCCTGTTATAGAGGCTTCTTTGTTTGTACATTCAGTGAAGAGGTGTACGTTGTTGAAAATGTGCGTGTGTGTGTGTGTGTGTGTGTGTTCAGATTAAAGTGCAGCAGATGGCGCTCGAGATGCAGCTGACTCCCTTCCTGGTGCTGTTGAGGAGTACGTTGGAACAGTTACAGGAAAGAGACACTAACAATTTTTTTACTGAGCCTGTGCCGCTGGCAGAGGTAAATACACACAAGCACACACAAGAGGTTTGCATATACGTTTTGGCTTTGTGTTTTCTCACAGCAATGTCATTTTTGAAATCTGTTCATGTTGGCGTATTTATGTTTGCCTCCATTTATAGCCAGTAGTACTAGGGCTGTGGTCGACTAAAGAAACTGAAATCGTCCCTACAGTTGATCGATTTTTCATTGGTTTTTCTTTTGCTGGCAGTTAGCCATCGTGATGATTAATTTTCCGTGTCAGCACATGAAACTGCTCCATCAAAACAAGTTTCCTCCCTGTTCCTTATTTTGCAGAGACACACCCCTCATATAATTTTCCAGATTGTGTATTCTTAACTTCTCTCCTTGTACTTAGTCTCCTCCAACCAGCAATGTGAGCGGAGGAGGCGAGGAAAGAAAATTTGAGGAAACAGGCATTTAACAACAGAAAGCTATTGTTTCAAACTGACGTCAATTCACTATAACGCGTGGCACAACTGTATCACCTGTCCATAGTTTTGTTATATCCTTTCACCGTATTCAAGAGTCAGATGAGCCAGCATACATTTACTTATACTTCAATCTGCAACGTGGCAGAATGTAATGAGAACGTATGGTTGTCGTACATTTTTATTGAACACATACAAGCACTGTGAAGTATAAGAGTCGTGGCACACACACAAAAAAAGTAAACAAATAAAGAGTGACATATTAAGTGATTTATATACATGTATTCGTATGTTAGGTCATGATCCCAGCACCAGAACTATTGAGTATTATAACATTGACAAATTAGCCAGCAGTTTTTTAGATGACGGCAGAGTTTGCATAGTTTACACTCAACTTTTTCACCATCTGTTTCAACAAAATGCAGCCACGCCAACAACTGAGTAAATGTTAAGTTAAACCTTGCAGTCTTCGTGAGTTAAAAGTTGCAAAAATGTGATAGTGTTGATGGGCATTCTCGTCCTCCTACCGCCAAACATGGATTAATCCTGGAGAGCTGTCAATGTAGCGCTTTTCTCCTCATAAAAAGAGCAACAAAGATTGTCTGATCAGTGATAAGGTGGGTGGATGAGAGCGTATTGACCGACCAATCGATCGGTCGATGTTGACACTACAGCCCTAAGTAGTACATGGTGTATGCTTTATTTTCTCTCATAGTGGTAGCAACCTTAAAAATTCAGTATTTGTCATCTCTCATTTAATAGATAATCATTAGAGGATGCCTTAAAAAAACATTTTTTTACGCAATCACATCCTCACTAAAAGTTCACTGTGTATTACAACCACGTTAGAAGGTGCAGGTCATGCCTCTGTGTGATAAGTTCCCTTTATCCCACAGGTGCCAGACTACCTGGACCACATTGACACTCCGATGGACTTTCAGACGATGTGGAACTTGCTGGAGTCCCATCGCTACCTCACTTTTGAGGCCTTTGAGGCCGACTTCGGTCTCATTGTCAACAACTGCCTAAAATACAACGCCAAGGACACGGTTTTTTACCGCGCTGCCCTGCGTCTCAGAGAGATGGGTGGGGCCGTCATCAGAACGGCCAGGCGGCATGCTGAACGGATAGGTTTCGACTACGAGACCGGTATGCACCTGCCTCGAGAGCCAAGTCCAGAGAGTCAACGGGACCAAGAGAGAGAAAGAGAACGGGAGCGAGACAGGGAGAGAGAAAGAGAAAGAGACCGGCCATTATCTTCCAATGAAGATGGTACGTGTTCCCTTTTTTACTTTGACTGGGAGATTTTTGGCAGCCAAAACATTCTTGTTAAGTGGAAGGATAAGTGAGGGGTGAAATATTTCAAATGAGCTGTGTTTAAAAAGAACTTCTAGGTTACATTTTGTGGCCAATTAATAGTTAGCACTTAGATGTAGTTTGTTCTAAAATGGTAAGTCGGGATCATTTGGAAGGCTTGAGGGTTGATGAACACAATTCAGTGTTCAACACCAACGTGGGTGAAGCAGTGAGGAGAATTAAAGTGGCTGAGAAATGGACGCCACAAATGCACAGTAGAGCCGAAGAAGAATTGTTGTCGTAACAGACTTAATGTTAAACGAGTGAGAGCCTAGTTTTCCAGGCTCTGTGGTCTTTTCAGATTTTTTGGTTTATGTATCCAATGATTGGATGCCAGTCAGTTATAAAGCACTCCTAGTCACAAACTGTGACAGTATGTGTGTGAAGCAAGACACTCAATAAGAATTTATTGAAGAAATGAAAGGGATTTTTGCTACAGTACAGCCTTATGAACAGCAGATGGCGCTTGTCATTCATGTAAGTCAGTTTTCAGCTTAGCCAGAACCTCATCACAACTGCTCAGTTGTACATGCTGTTTTTTAACTTTACCAATACTATGACTGTGTTTTAAACCAAAGAAAATTAGATGAATAGATTAAGTTTGAGCTACCAAACATATTGTCCACCAGAAAAAAGAAACATCCCTCAATTTGATAGTTTCCCACCCTGTTTGACTGCCTTTTGTGATCATTTATTCATTTCGTCCCTGACATATTTAACTGCCCTTCCCTCTGTGCCTTTCCCAGACCTGCTCCTGCCAGAGAACAGGCGGCGGCTACCGCTGGAAGAGCAGCTGCACTACCTGCATGCACGTCTCGATGAGGTGAGCTCGGGAAGGCACAGCATCGGTCAGTCTCGCAGGGCCAAAGCTCTGAGAAAGGAGATCAGCGTGATCAAGAGGAAGCTTGCACACCAGCGGGAGGGAGGCTCCGGCATGGGGGGCCGGGAGTCCGTGGGCGGAGGAGACCGGGGTTCTTCCCTTCCTCATCACTCATCGTCTGCGGGACACCACGATGAGGGAGGAGAGAGCAGCAGCCAGGAGATTGGTGGAAAGGGTGTGTCTAGGGAAATATATCAATATCATTAATGTGCAACATGAGAAAGATGTCGGAAAGCGATATGGTAAACACTGGCATGTTTTGACGTATGAACTTCTCTGTCCATCAAGATCTCAGTGTGTCATCGTCTGCGCTGGCTCCAGAGGTGGGCCGGCGGACATCCGTCCTCTTCTCTAAGAAGAACCAAAAAATGGCTGGACCCCCTAAAAGGCCAGGCCGTCCCCCCAAAAACAGGGACGCAGGTTACGCCGGGGCAGGGGTGAGCCAAAGCCCTATCGGACCCCCTCAGCTGCCCCTACTGTCACAAAGCAGGCAGAGGAAGAGGCCTCGAAGCCCCCATACCAGCTCCAGCTCTGACAGTGACAGCGACAATGACGACCTGCTGCCAGGTACGCTCGGACAGTCACAGTAAACTTTTAATGTGCAAGTTTCTCTGTGACACACTCATTCACTTCTTTCTGTCTCTTTCTCTCAGGTTTGCCAAGTAATGGTTTTGACACAGGAAACCAGCCAGTAACGGAAAGCTTCCGTGTGTACAGAAATGAACCTCGTCTCCCTCGCTCAAGCTCAGACTCTGAGTCCACAACCAGCAGCAGCAGCAGTGCAGCTTCTGACAGAACCAGGTGATTAATGCACATGTCTGTTATTCCTAAAAGCTCCCTCTGATGCAAAGTTTTTTCTGCTCCCTGTGAGTCAAGTGACTACATGCAAAATGAAAGGAGTCTTTGGCAGAAACAAACCACATGTTGCTTCACCTTTACCACACCGTTTTACAGTTTAAATTCTCAGAATGGTTTCATTCCAACATGTTAAACAAGTAAATCGTCTTTTGTTTTATCTGTAGACACTTGAAATTAATGTGTATCTCAGTAGTCTTGTTTGCGTTTTCTCGCAGCACAACTCCTTCTAAGCAGGGCAGAGGGAAGGCCTCGTTCTCTCGCTCCGCCTTCCAGGAGGACAGCAGTGAGGAAACATCAGGCACTGAAAATGATTCCTACTCAGTTGGAGGGTCACGGAGCGTTTCACACTGTAAGCACCCTGAAACCCACTCAATGCATATGCAGTCCGTTTCTATTTGTGTCAGCAGCGAGTGTTTCCTCAGATCGACTTGAATGTTCGTGTTCGGGTTTTATGGTGCAGAACAAGATCATTTCGCAATGTAGCACAGATAGTGCTAAAGATAGGATTCCATGCAGAGGCAGGATACAGCTACTTCTTTGTGTTTGATAGCTCAAAACAGCGTAGGTGCACAGAAAAAATGACATTTTTCATTTTCCGTCCTCGTCATTGCTTTAAGCTGTCAAAGCCACCGGAGATAGACGCAGCAGTTATTAGAGCTGTTGAAATAAGAAACACGGTCAAAGAAAAGGAGACAAAGGGGCAGTTTTTACTATGCAAGCATTAAATTTTGTAGCGCAAATACCATTTTTTAAAGACAAGCCACCCTTAATTTACCAAATAAACTGTATCTTGCAGAAGCAGCCTAGCTGTCCAAGATTACTAAACATATTTCAAATTAAAGGGATGTGCTTTGTAATAAATGCTTACAGCAGTACGATTAGGTACTCAACACCCATTGTTTACCTCGAAGTGAGGTTGCATAATGGTTCCTTTTCGTCAGTGGTGCGTGGCCGGGACAGGTCAGGATGCTGGATGACATCTGATGATTATTCTTCTCTGGAAGCTCTAGACCTGGTGTGGGCCAAGTGCAGAGGGTATCCTTCATATCCGGCTCTGGTGAGACACAAGTTCACTACACAAATAGTGTTTGTTACAGTCAATTCAACTTTGATCCCTCCTTTAGTTTCTGGCCGCAGGTATAATCTTTTTCATGTCACTGCTTGCCTGCAGATAATTGATCCAAAGATGCCCAGGGAGGGGGTGTTCCACCGGGGTGTTCCAATCCCTGTTCCCCCTTTGGATGTGCTGAAACTAGGGGAACAGATGACCCAGGAAGCCAGAGAACACCTGTTCCTGGTTCTTTTCTTTGACAACAAGAGAACTTGGTCAGTACTTTGGGTTTCTTTGTCTCATCTGTTTTTGCATGTAGAAACTTGAATGTCACAGATCATTGTTATTCTCATCCTTCTGTACTGTTTTTGCACTTTTTCTAATGTACTTTAAAAAATACAGGATGCAAGCAAAAAGGCTTCTGAAGTTACTGGATGTGTGCGCACAAGTAGCTCTGTGGCAATACTTCAAAGCCAACAAGACGATAACACTTAGCAGAAATAGGCCAAATGTGGTTGTTGAGAATAGAAGACGGGGGAAAGAACGCCTCATATTTTAGGCCATCCGGTGCTGTGCTGAACACTTGCGTTGAATGTCTGCTAAGTTTGAAGAAAAACTTCTATGAGAAACTTAATGACACAGTGAGTGTTATTCTATTCTTCACTCTCACCTGCTCTCAGGTCGTACCCTGTAAATCACCTGAACTCGGTAACATTTGAAAAAGCAGAAAATCAATGGGAATGTTACGCCTTCAGAGGAATATTTATTACACTTTATCAAGATACTAACTCATTTTGGACTTATTGACTGGCATGCGTATTTGTTTTTGCTCTTGCAAATATTGCGTAATAACTCGAGTTGTGTGCGTGTTTGTGTGCACGCAGGCAGTGGCTGCCACGCTCAAAGCTGGTGCCGCTCGGCGTGGACCAGGAGCTGGACAAGGAGAAGATGCTGGAGGGCAGGAAATCCAATATCCGCAAGTCAGTGCAGGTGGCCTATCACCGTGCCATGCAGCACCGTAGCAAGGTGCAGGGAGACCCCAGCAGCGAAACTAGTGACAGTGACTGAAATCAAACATGCACGCACTCAAACCTTATGTGTTGGTCCTTGCAATTGTAGTGGAGTTTATGTTTCTCTCTAGAGAGCCCAGCCCTACATCATAGATTACAAGAAAACAGTGCCAGTAGCAAAGTGTGGGAGAAAAAAAAGAAATCATCCACTACTTTGGCCCCCAAGATAAACACACTCATGCACACTAAGCCGTATTTAATCCGACATGTAAAATATTGTATTTAAGAGAAGTGAAAAAAAATGGTATTGATAATAATGATGGGGAAAAAAAAGTATGCTATGTTCAGAATCATGAATTAAAAATTCTCTTGTATGTGGTCGATATGTGTTTAAATAACAACAGAGATAATGGTTTACAGCCTCAAAAAATGAACATAGTACTACACTATTGTGCACACTCAACTCAACCGTTTCCTGTCGTTCTCACACATACAGTCACATGTGCTATCTTACATTGGAACAGGAAAATGCATGCAGTGTACATTGAATGCACACACTGCGGGTATGGCTGTGAATGCCATCGCCCCAGCACGTCTTCTTCACGTCCATCACCACCTCTCTGAAAGATAAACAAAACAAAGGAAAAAAAAAAACCAGGCCTGGTGCTAGTGTCATTTGTCAGAGCAGCACAAACAGAGACTGTTGCGGCCTGAATTGTGGGCAAACCAATGTTACTGTAATTTATTCTTCTGACTCCTCATTTACAAGATCCACAAGCTCGTTTCAATTTGGACTACGTCTAATCACTCTGGCTGCACAAGACATCATTGTGTGGTGCTTCTTCATTTGTCAGTCTGTGTTTTATCACCTGTTTTTACGGTTTTGTTAACATATGTACGTGTCACACAGGCCATTGGTCAATGAATAATGTCTTAGTCTCAGGCTGATGGCTTTAGATCTTTTATAAATACAGATTGCATAAAGATAGAACTTTAATAAAAAAAAAGAATTGAGTTTTTTAAATCTGTGGTTTGTGTTGTGTTCACTGTTGCTCCCCTTCAGCGTTCTTCCTGGTTTCCTGCTTTATTACTGGAGACTGTTATGTGGGTTGTTGTTTTGTATTCAGCAGACTCTTCTGACCCTCCCGATACCGCTTTCCGAGTAAAGGGTGAGTCATAAGCGCTTCTCGAGTGTTCCTCACCCCCACACTCCGATAATGATTCATACAGTCAGACTTCAGTTAGTGAGAGATTTGCCGTCAGTGAGTATGACCAGTCACGTTGTTTGTGTGCATTTAGAAATGCTGCTGACAGTGCAAAAGACGGAGTAAATGTGTCAGAGTTCATATTAGTCTGAATGTTCAAGTTCATTTCCTCTTTTATGAAAGTTTAAGCGCTGCATGTCTCACAGCTTTGTTCGCTGTATGTGAGGGAGTTAACAGCATAAGAACAAATGGATTTACTGAATGCTCAGTTCAAATGTTTACCAAACTGAAAAAAAAAAACTTTCGTCTCTGAAATGGATTAGTATAGATACAATCACTGACCATAAATCCCTTGAAGTGGTTCTGCAGGTTTCCTGCTCATGGCAGTATGGGATCCAAAGCATAGACTCTCTGTATACTGGTTCTACTTGTCAGACAGCCTTTACAAAACACATGTACGTCGTTTTTTTTTTTTACAGTGTGTCAGAAAAGCCTTGTAGACGGTTTGAAAGTTTGTTAAGACAATCACTTGGTTGCCTACAAGATTTTATAAAAGAATATCTCTAGAATAACTGCAAATGATTTAACAACAAAAGTGTTTAGATTTAAACAGAAACTAAACAGGATATCATACATTTACCCTCTGACATTATATGATGCATTCATTTGAGCCACGTTTCCCATAAGCTGACTGACTGTAAATAACAGTCATATTATTGACATTATCGGTTACTATATGAGCTCACTTGACTGTGATGACAAATACCTCTTAACAACCAATATGAATTTCCTTTCCCCAAATCAGAGTTTTTGATCTCTTTTTCCACACATAAAGATCCCCCACCCAAGTGAAGCGCCCACTCGCCACGACATTTATGTGTTTAGATTTGCAACCACGGCGACACCTCCTCTCTGTAAAGATAGCTTGTTTCCCAACCTCAGCGGCTGCTCCGAACGTGAGTGGAAACAACCGATAATCATCAGTCAGTGGTTTCAACAGAGCGCCCATAGCACAGGTGGTGACCTAGAGATATGATATTTTTTTCGTGCAAAGTTTTTTTTTAGCTTTCTGCTCTGACTGTAAGCAGCACATCTGTGCAATTTTTTGTAAGCCATCATGCATGGGTGGACAATTAGCATGTGGTTAGAATGATCACTCACTTTTACTTTAGTGCATGAAATGATGAACTGATCAGATAACCTACCACAGGAGTGGCTTAATCAGAAGCTGACGATCTTTGGGTAAATTTATCTTACAGGACAATCGCATGTTTAAAAAAACTTTTTAAAAAAAGTCGCTCATGATCTGCACAGTCTTCCTGTTTCACAAATGAACTACAACCACAAGAACACAGCATTTAGATTCACACTGCCATCCTTCAAAGCCCTTCCTAAAGTAGTATTATAGCAAAAAGTTTGTATGTGTTCAAATAGCATGCAAACGTTTGTATTCTGTGTATCTTTTATCTGAAAGGAGCTTGTAGCTGAAGCCTGTCACATAAATGTCAACAAGACAGCCTGATGTGTGAAGCTCTACACAGTGGTTCTTTGGATTAAAAGCTAACATGCTGATGTCAAGCACATAAGATGTTTCATTTGTGCACCGTCTCAGTTTTACATATTTTAGCATGCTAAAATTAATCAGCACAAAACACACAGTAAAGCAGAGGCTGGAGGGAAAATCATCAAAGTCTGACGTGATGGTGGCGCCTGATTAAAACGTAGTTAAACCTGAGCTCAACATGGATGTTTGTGCCAGATTTCATGGCAGTTCTGTGGTCAAGTGGTCACCTGACTGACTGAGATTGCCATCCCTGGAGGCGCGCTGCAAGCCTGGCTGTGCAGTGGACGACAGAGTTGGGCAAACATAAAATACCCTGAAGTGAAGTCCTGTAAAAGTGTAAGTTCACTTCTTTGCGTGTCTCTTCTGAGAAATTTTCATGCTTAAAAATATCACATGAAAGTAGCTTTATGGTAGCTTTTTAACACAGATGAACGGAAAAATTCCCTTTAATGCCAACGTCAAAACAAATCTCTCCAAACTGCTTGATTTTACCTTCTACTCTCAAAAGCTTTTCAGGGCCTACAGCAGAGAACACTGTCTACAGTGTGACTGTGCCACCAACAAGCTCCACAATTGGTACGTTGTGTTTATGATGATGTGCGTTGTTTGATTTAATCCAATCGTGTTGTTTAGTCTGATGGTCAAAAAGCACGATGTTGTGATCTTCTCAGGCTTTTTCATGTTTTCTTTAGAGTTAAAGTAGTTGACTTGGTGGCCTCTATCACTGGTTGGTCAGTTTTTGAGGACAGCCTGATCTAAGCAGATGTAGCACATGAGTCATAAGCTTTTCATTTGTTTTTTTAACTGGGCTGACTTGCATTGCATTCATCCCGTGACTTGTGATTTTCAGTCACCTACGTCTTTATCTTCACGTTGTAGCTTTTGTTTCAATGCTCACCGAACAAAGACCGGAGCTTCCTTATCTACTGTTGGTGCACTTCTACTGATTGAAACCCCTTAACCACACACAGGTGATCCGTTGGTTCTTAGTAGTGGCATTAAAATTTCTTTATTTAGCATTATTTTTTACTGCAGTTGAAACTTTTTTGTCCCCCCCCGTTACTGAACAGAGAAGAGGGCTGTGGCAGGAGCAAGACCTCACACATGGGGCCCAATACTGGCAACTCTTTTCTATGGAAAGTAGATGTGAACTCCAGCTTCACTCCACCGTGTCCACATTTGGAGTCCGTCTAATTCTCATTGCATGGCGTTAAAAATTGTACAGTATAGCATTAAAATAGCACTAAAAAGAATTACATTAGACTGGCTGATTTCTGCAGAAACCTTGTATATGCAAACATCTATTTTATAAAACTGTAATCAATTAAGATCCATTTATGTCCAGATCATTTCATGCCTAGGCAGGGCTCCAGACTTAACTTTTTTTTTACTGTTTGGTGCGACCAACTTTCCTATTTGGTTGCACCTCCCACCTTGTCACAGGCAAAAACACATACACTTGTTGAACATGTGCTTATCGATAGACGCTACAATTTACAGAGGTTCCCTAAATGTCCCACACTGCAGGCTGTGGTAGCTTCTGCTGCTTGGTGGCTGCGGTGTGCTCAGACAGGTGTGTGACTGAAAAATACTTAGAAAATAGTTAAACTGGGGCGCTTTAGTGTCAGATTTGATGAGACCGAGTTTTTTTTCCTTTTCTTTTCTTTTTTTTTGTGCCGTGTGGAGCGCATCTACTTCTGCTCTTAGAAAACAGCGAATGCAGGTGTGCTCCACATTTCAGAAGACCTCGTTTTTTAAGTGTAAATACCGCAGTCCACCCAAGTTATAAAAGTGCTGCTTTCCACCTCTGTGGTTAACTCAGTAGCTTCCTGCACTCGTTACAGTGACACCAAAACAGCTTCATGATCATCATGCACTCGCACCAATGCAACCAGTTGAAATCTCAGCTTGCACACTCTCAAAAAATCAAAGGTCGCAGTCTGGAGCCATGGCAGGTGTTGCTCCACCATCTCAGATTTTGCTCGGAGTTTACTTGTTTGAAACCCAAAACTAAGATCTGTAACTTAGTAAGATTCAGTGCAATACTGAGAGACAGTATTTTCTTTAGTGTTTCATCTGGTGCTGGTGGAAACCTCAAGACAACTATATACTACAGTCGTCCTCAAATGTATTCATACCCTTCCATCAGGGTTTTGGTATATATAAGTGTTCAACTTCTTCCAAAAACCTTTTTTGAACTTTGAAACTTTGATTTGTTGTATCAAATGCTGACTTTTGTTTGTAAATTTTGGTTTGAAATAAGGAAAAAACAATTAAAGAAAAGGTAAAATTCACAATAGTCACTCAAATAGCTAGAAACTGAAAAAGTAATAATAAATAGAATTGTGCTAAATTCTATGTTAGTGAAATAAGACATTGCTTTTAAATTGTGGTTGAAAAAAAATAAAAATAAAAAATTAGAGCACTTTGCTGATGAGCAGTGGGCCAAAATCAAAATACAGCAGGTCAGAAGTCTGATTGAGAGTTACAGAAAACACTTGATTGCAGTGATTGGCTCAAAGGGTTGTTCAACAAAATATTAGTTCACAAGCCCCATCATGCTTGTTTGCTTGTTCTGTTTGTTTGTTTGTTTGTTGTTGTTTTTGAAAAATATTTCTGTTGAACCACAATTCAACAGTAATGTCATGATTTTCATTTAATTTTTATGTATTATTACTTTTGTCAATTTAAACTTTTTCAGTGACAGCTGTTTTTTTTTTTTTTTTTCCTTCTTTCATGGGAGGCTATGAATAAATTTGAGGATGACTGTAGTTACCTCAAATTGTTTTTATTCTAAGGTTTTTAAAAACAGTTCACATCCCCGGTAAAGACACCAGCAAGATCTTTCTGCGTGGTGCAGTGTGGGTTCTCCGGCTTCCTCCCACAGTCCAAAAACATGTTGAGGTTAATTGGTGATTCTAAATTGTCCGTAGGTGTGAATGTGAGTGTGCTTGGTTGTCTGTCTCTAAGTGTAGCCCTGTGATAGACTGGTGACCTGTCCAGGGTGTCCCCTGCCTTCACCCTGAGTCAGCTGGGATAGACTCCAGCCCCCCCGCGACCCTAGTGAGGATTAAGCGGTGTGTAGATAATGGATGGATGGATATAAGACAACATGAAAGCAACTTATACTAGACCCCTCTGCGCACTAGTTTTTTTGGTCCTATGATTGAGTTCTCTTCACCATTTTGGTATGTTAGAACAATCAAAACTGTAATCTTCCGTATGTGCCACACATCACATATTCTACTGATGTTACAGATCTCAAAATATATGCCACACTCTTACAGGAACTTTCTGAGGCCCCTATACCATCCTTCTTTGATTGATTTATTTTTATGAGTTATTAAGAACCTCTGTTGGAGCCATTCAGTCTTTTGGATCTGCTAGAAAACAGATTTCATAGCTGTGGTGGGAGTTGTGTATCTGGAGATGTTGAACCCTTAAAATCACTTGTCATGGAAGACGTTGTATTTACACATTGTGTGACAAAAGTCTTAAAATTTAGCCCAAATACTTTACAGAGCCTTTTGGGCCCCAGTTAACACCTTGACCAAAGAAAATCTGGGACAGCGTGTCAAAATGTTCTTGTTGATGTTGACTATCACTGTCAAACATATAATCTTTGATTTGGCTGTAAAATAATGAAACAGGAAAACTTCTGAGAGGAGTTTATGCATTTTTACAGATAGTATTTATGATTGACTCTACAACGCATAAAGTGTTTCAAAAACTTAAGATATGTCCAGGAAAAAACAAAACAAAACAAAACAATATACTTATTTTTTTATGTATTTATTTATACAAGTGTCATCCATGAGGCTCAGTGATGATGGCATTATTCACTGCAGAATAGTCTTCCTAATGACAAAGGTGGCCTCAAAAACTTAAAATGGGACTTAAATTCAGGGCTGTTCTTTCTCCTCCTGCTGCCTGGGACTTTAATGAGAGGCGGAACTGCGGCTCTTGAAGAAGAGAAAAAAAAAATTCAAACTAACGCCCTCGTGTTTTAGTCATTTGGCAGGACCTGAAGACACCGAAAAACAAGCAGAGCCCCGTACGTAGTTCTCATGGGATTGTACTGTGCGTAAAAGACCCCGTTCCGCAGCCTGGAATAACCTTGCACTGCTTTACCGGCAGACACCAGCCACATAGACAAGCGGAAAGACTTTCTTCTCCTTCCTGGCACGGCATCCCAGCGTTTAATTATGAGGACATTTCACCAACTTCAATTTGTTTTCGATGTTTAAAATGCGTTTTGGCACCGCGCTGGCTCTTCTTGTCGCCCTGGTGTCTCCACTGCGGGCGCAATGTACAACAACGTGTCAGGTGAGTTTAGGGCAGACTTTACAAAGGTTTTACGGTAGCGCACTGTGAGCACTGTAAATTCCAAATAGTCACATTCCTGTATTGTGATTGCCTGTGTTGTCTTTCTCCTCCTTTTAGATGAGCAGCCAAAGTGGTAGGTTTACTATTTTCTGTGCGGTTTTTCATCACATTAAAGCCCCTACAACATCAGTTTATGGCTCCACGTGGAAGCCAACTGTGTCACCTGCTGTACTAATGCTCTTGTCTGTGTGGACAGGTTATGTTGAGGGACAGTGTCCTATAACTCTAACCCCAGACCCCTTCCTGGACGAATGGGGCATTTACTCCGAGTGTGTCACTGTTCGTGTTTGGATGAAGACTGAGGGTACGGATTCAAAACACAGCTTCAAAGTCCATTTTGTTATCTTGTACACACACAGTCCTCCACACATTTCTTCATCTCTAAAGACAACGCTGCTGAAAAGTGTCTCGATCTGCTTTCTTCCAGACTTTTCAAGCAAGAACCCGGCGATTGAAATTCACACATCGATATCAAAATTGATGCTGAGCCCCACTCTGAAAAATGCAAACAAAGTAGGACTGTTTCTGTTTTCACCTCCTCTAAACATGTTATAGTGTTCCTGAGCCTGCAGGTTATAACAGGTACAATGGTGTCAATTTTCTGTTTTGTCTCTTTCTTAGTTAAACAAAAGGTGCCATGTTAAGAGCCAAGGCTCCCGTGTGAGGTGTGTCACAAAGCAACTCCAGTACAGCAACACTTCTTTTACCCTGGTAACACCAATTTTCTATTTCTGCCTTAATCCTAGGGGGGTGTTTTCTGAAGACAATTCTGATGATTGCTGTTCTTTTTTCTCCTCAGTGGGAGCTGGTACATGACTGTGCCGATGCTGAAGCTGGAAGTGCTGTTTATGTGTCTTACAGCGCACCATCAACACGCTGCAATGTCACCTACACAGTTCGAGGTGGAGTATGTTGGATTTCTGGCGTCTGGTCTATTTTTTCTTTACTTCTTTGGTTTAATTGTTTTCTTCTTTGCTGCATGCAAGTTTCCTTTTTTCACAGAAAAAGACAACAATGACGTGGGTTACGTTTGGCGTCTGATAGGAGATAAAGTAAAGGAAAAGGCAGAGATAAAGTGTCTTATGACAGTGTTGGGTCACAATATTTCTTGGAAATATTCCATTATTTGGTGTTTAAGGACACATTTGTCCAAAATGTCTCCATTAAATTCAGATCAGTTGCTGCAAAGGTCACACAATGGCATTTGGATAATTTTTTTGAATTCATCCAAACATTAATTTGTCATTTGTGAATGTGAGCACTGTCACACTGAAATATACCAGAATGAAATGTTTCATCACAGGACGAAGATGATATCTCAACACTGATTTTTGAGTTTCCTTCAGTATCAAAGTAATGAAAAGACAACCAATCAATATATTTTCCCTGAGACGTGCATTTGTTATGTTTGTCAACTCATTTGTCTTGCTTTTTCCTTCAATTTGTCGCCCGTCTCTACATATTGACCTGCCTGCAGGGATGCTCATATTGTGTGGCTATTTGTTCTGTGCCTTAGGTCCCAGGCCAGACTTTGACCTCTCTGTAGATCAGTCATCAAAATCCATCAATGTCACCGTAAAGCCTCAAGGGGATGTCATGCCAGTCTATGCCAATTGGTGTTACTTAAAACGAGGAAACAACTGCCTCGGAGGGCCAGATTCCAAACGAATAAATGTGAGTATCCTGTTTGTCCACATTTACCTACTTCTGTGTGAAAAAGCAAGCAAGGTTGTTTTCTCCTGTAATGTATTTATGTCTTATTTTCAGATCAATCCATCTCAGCCTCAATCAGCCGTGCTTACCTTCCCTTACCTGCTGCCCTGTGTGTGTGTGCAGGTACTTTGAACGTCACGTATATTTTTGATGTGGCGGTGTTTTGTAGAGTCAGTCTGGTTTTAATGCCTGTACATGTGCTGTCTGCATTGGCAGGTATATTACACCTATACAGATGCTTGGCGGCGTATAAAGTGCCTGTTTCAAAACAGCAGCCTCATAGGTGAGTGGAAAACCATTATTGTTGTGTAAATGCGCTGTGGGTTGTTATTCCATTCCTGTAGATGGATGTGATGATGATACTGGACACAGTTCCTAATGTTGTGATTAAGGATGTTCAACTCTCAAAACACAGGAAACCTATGACCTAAACTTTGAATCAAGAGCCTTTTACATGAGACCTCTTCATCTACTGTTCCACCTTCAGCGAAAAAAGAGCCTAAAAATCTTCCATGTGACTCATTCTTATAAATAAAACTGCTCTAATGATCACAGAGCTTACTGTGCATCAACAACTTTTGTAAAAGTGCACATCCTCTCCTAAATGTAATGGTCCTTTTACCAACACCTAATATGCAGATAGTTTTACTTCAATGTGTGCAAAGGTTTTGAGATGTACCAGTGAATTGAAGGGGAAAAACTGGATGCTGTATTAATTCAAGTGTAAATTTAAAAGAATAGTTCAGCAATGTGGGAAACATTTTATTTTTTTCACCTTCTTGCCAACAGCTAGATGAGAAGATCAACAGAATTGTCAGATCGGTCCAGTAGATATGTGTTGACATTAGTTCAATTCAAGTCAATTCAGTTCAATTTAATTGTATTTGCATAGTGCAGTTTACAGCATATGCCATCACACAGCGCTTAACATAGTAAAGTATAGACCTTACAAGTTTAAACAGAGAACCCAACAATCCAAAGTAGCCTTTCGACTTCCTCTGAGCAAGCGGTTGGCAACGGTGGGAAGGAACCAAACCAAACCGCCAAAATTGAAGATGCAAATCCTGTTTAATCCCGAGCCATCAATCTTAGTTTACCATAACGAATGGAAGCACATGGCTTTGTCCAAAGGTAACCAAACCTATGCCCAGCACTTCTACAAAAATAGAAAATAAGGGACTGCATAAGTATTCACGTGTCAGTGTTTTGTTCATGCACCTGTGGCTACAACCGCAGCATTGAACCTGTTTCAATAGGTTTCAGTCAGCCTTGCACATCTGAACACTGCAATTTTGCCCTACTGTTTTTTTTTTGTTTTTTTGGCAAAACTGCTTAACCTCTTTCAGGTTGCACAAGGATCATAAGTGAACCATCCTTTTCAAGTTCAGCCAAACATTCTCAATTGGATTGAAGTCTAGGCTCTGACTCAGCCACTCCACAACAATTACTTTGCTGCCTTTATACCATTTCTGTGTAGCTATGACTGCATGCTTTGGTCATTGACTTGCTGGAAAACAAATCTTCTCCCAAGTAGCAGTTGTCTTGCACACTGCATCAGGCTGTCCTCCTGGACTTCCTTGTACTTTGCTGCATTCATTTTACCCTCTAGCTTTACAAGCCTTTGAGGGCCGGCTGCTGAGAACCATCCCCACGTCATGATGCTGCCACCACCATGCTTCACTGTGGGAACGGTGTGTTTGCGATGATGCGCATTGTTTGGTGCCTCCCAAACATACCATCTACTATGATGGCCAGAAAAGCTCAGTTTTGGTCTCATCAGACCAAAGAGCCTTCTTCCAGTTGATTTCTGAGACTCCCACATGCCTTTTGGAAAACCCTAGGTGACATGTAATATGAACTTTATTCAAGGGGCTTTATTCAAGGGGCTTGCTCTTTTCCACTCTCCCACAAAATTCTGATGGGTGGAAAAACAGGGAACAGTTGTATGAATTATCTCTTCCATTTCAGCTGCTGAAACCCATAACTTCTTCAGAGTAGTCATAGGAGTCTTGCTGGCCTCCCTCTTTCTTGTATGGTCACTTACTTACTTGCTGAAATAAACGATTCATTAATTGACTTTTATTTGTAGAAACTGATTTTTACTTTGAAATGATTTTTTTTATTTATTTATTTTTTTAAATAAATTATTCCAAAAAACAGGACAACCTCCACAGTGGGTCAATAATTTTTTATAGGTACTGTATCTTGCTTGTCCAATGTGAACAAAAAGCTAGAGTATAAAAAGTTTTACACAGGGTCACATGCTCAAGTTTTTCATGGCCAGGAGCAGTGACTTGTAGGGTTGTCATTTTTGTTGTGTCCAGTCTTTTTGCTGTATTAATGTTTCCAGACAATAGCATCATATTTGATAAGGATGATATGCTCATCAGTCTGCTTATCTGAAACTCCATAGACAGATTTAATGATTTACTCATCGCCAATTGCTTTGGACATTCCAGGCTCTGGTTGCCTAGGTAACCTTGTTGTATATTTCCCACCTCAGATGTTTCATAGTGAAACTGTTAAGCCTACACTTCAACAGTGACAAATAACCAACATTGAGTTTCTTTTAATACACACACATTACAGTTTTTAGATCAAAGTCGCAACTTTTTGCAAAAATCAGATGCATGAGTTGTTAATGTAGTTGTATGGTTCGAGTTTCTTGGAAACCGCAGTGATGCTTCCCGTCTCGTGTGGTCGACGCGGTGGAAACCAAAGTCGTGGACGTTGTTTTGTTGTAGTAAATGTTTGGAGCCCTCAGTGATGATGTCATATGTCAAGCAACAGTGTCCTTTGCTCCCATTAGTATTCACCTCCAATGTGTTGTCCCAAGATTGAGTTTAGTTTAACTCAGTACTCACCCACTTTGCATTACTAATGGTTATTTTTCCTGCCATTGCTACATTTCACCAAATTACATTGACTTTCCATTGTCTCCTCCTGTGTGTACACCCCTTCACGCTTGGCAAGACAGTGAGCAGGTGCCTTTTTAAAAAATGTTAATTTGTGCCTTAAAGTTCACCTCAATTGTACTGGCCCACATTGGGTTAGTGATTAGTGTCTTCAAATTTCAGCGCATAGACCCGAAATGGTTTGCATTGTATTACAATAACTCACACTTTAAAAGCCTGTGTTTGTGTGCTTCTGTTTATCAGTTTGATGCTGTTTATTTTGATATATTAACTATTATTTATGTTGGTAGGTTTACCCACAACTGCATCCTTGAATGAACCTCAGTTAGTACTGTTGTAAACATCTGCGTCCACATGACCTCAACAGATCATAGAGATGTCTGGCGCACTTCTGAAGTCGCACTGTACGAGTCAAAGTTGACATGGAGCTCGGAGTGTCCGGCCAACAGCATGAACATCTCTGCCTCCCTCTGCTGGATGCAACGTGAACACGTCTGCACGCCTATACTGGGCTCCACACTGGAGAAAGACAATGGACCAACCCTGGTATGTTTGACAGCACTGGTGATAGATTGTTGTTAAAAATGCAGCTTTCTCAAATACTCACTGTGTCTGTTTGACAGGTATATAACACATCTATGGTGGACAAACACCCTCAGATGTGTGTGCGGGTGAGTGTCTAGGTGAAAAGCTACATGTGTTTGCATTGAAACATGTCATATCACCTACCTTTTAGTAACAGATCCACACATTTCTGTGTCACTTTTGCAGTTTTCTTTACAAGACAGCCATAACATCACTTGCCTCTTCACGAGTGGTAAGTCAAAGGGGAGTTTATTTCACTTGAAGCTTTGTTAAGTGGCAGTTTATCTGTATGTTTTATTTTTTTTCTTGTCCTTCCAGATATGTCTTCTTGGGAGGCGTATATTGGACCAAGCAGGCAGAGCATAGTAGTGTATCTTACATCTTCAGCCCCAGCAAAGTTCTCAGCTCAACTCTGTGTCCTGACTGAGACAGGATGTAGACCAATGGGGCCGGCCCACTCACTAACAATGGTTAATAAACATGTGTTTTTAAGAGAGAAGGTGTTTAATTAATGTGAATGTGAGCAGATATGTGATTCTTCTTATCAATTTTGCAGGATGGAAATACCAAGAAAGAGAAAATGATATATTTGCCTCTTCGTTCTCTTGCTGAGAAACCCTGTGTGCAGGTAAAGTAAATATCAAGCTATTTCTTGATCCTGTGCATTACAATCTCTCTCCTCTCACTCTTTTTATTTGCTTTTCTGCAGGTGTGGCAGTCAGATCCTGCTCTTCATGGAAGAAGAATTCTATGCCCGGACTGTGAGTGAACTCACACATGAGCCAAAGCACACAAACACATGTGCCTTTATGTATTCAGTTATACATGAATGCAACCACAACTGGAGCTGCAGCAATTTTTCAAATATTTGAATTCATCACCAAATGTTTTAATAATCTAATTATTTGCTTAAGTTTTTCAAAAAAAAAAAAAAAAAAAGTGGTAATTCTTTAATTCCAGCCTCTAAAACCTTGATATTTTTTAGTTCATTTACTCCTCTATGAGAGTAAATGGAATATCTTCCGGTTGTGAATGAAATAAGAAATTTAAGGAAGTTGTCTTGGTCTTTGTGAAACACTGATTGACACCATTTTCCAATATTTTATAGACCAAACAGCTGATCAGTTAATTTAGAAAATATTTGACGGATTAATCGACAGTGAAATGTTTGTTAGTTGCTGCCCTACATGCTACGTCCTACAAAGTAAATAAACCCCCATTTTCTGTTTTTCTACAGACATGCGCAACAGAAGTGGCCTATATGCAGTGGCAGTTTTGATATTTGTAACTGTCGTTGCATTAATGGGAATTTTCATCCACCGTGTAACCAAGAGTGGAGCAACAGGTTAGTTCAATAAATTTATTATATACAATCAAGGAACTGGTTCATTTAAGTTCCATTATTGGGTTGTTTTATTTGATTAACTTCATTGGTATTAACTTGATTTACAGTTTTAAAGGAACAACTGAAACTCATCTCATCTTTCCCCAAATATTTAGGCTGTCTATATATCCAGAAGCCATTGTTGCTGGTGTGCTCGTCCGATCAGCCATCCCACGTCTCTGCTGTGTGTGCATTTGCCTCATTTCTCCAAGGTGAGCTAGGTGCCACAGTGCACACAGCTCTGTGGGCCCAGAGCTCGCAAAGGCAGGCCGGTACTCAGGCTGGTGTGGCAGATCTGGGTCCACTTCCCTGGCTGTATGGGCAGTGGGAAGCTGTCTGCAAGGCACAAGGAAAAGTGCTGATTATTTGGAGTCCTGAAGCCAAGAAAACCTACGACAATTGGAGGGAGGAGAAGGTGAACCTGGATGAGAAGGAGAGAAACAAGGAAGATTCTGAGAAAGTTAACGGAGAGGTGGAAGAGAAGGATTTAAAACTAAATGGAAGAAAATGGAAAAAAGCGAAAGCTACAGAAAACAAGGATGGTGTTAAATTATGTGATGATAAAGACTGGTGCCAACGGAAAGAGGCCTCTATGGTGATTGGACCGGTGTTCAAGGCTGCTCTGGCCTGCCTAGAGGGGGCACTGCAGCGGTGCAAAACCCGAGAAGTTGCCATTGTGTATTTTCACGGCCTTGGTCACGGCAGGGACATCCCAAAGGCTTTCAGAGGTATCCCTCGGTTCTGCTTACCAGAGGATTTCGGGGGGTTAATGCAGGAGCTGGGACAGACAATAAGAAGGACAAAAACTGGTAAATACAGGTGGCACTGCTGGCCCAGACTCCTGTCTAAAGTGCTGTCAGTGTGGCTGGCACGGCGGTTGGCTCAGAGGCTACAGACACTGCTGCCTAAGACATGAGCAAATAAAATGCAAGACCCGAGGGTCACATCATCAATTAAAATGACATTAGATAAGACAAGCGGGCTCAAGTTGCCGCTGGCAGCCAGACTTGGAACTGTACAAGAGTAAGAGCTCCTCCGTGGGTCGCCATGGAGAGCAGAGATGCTCAGGTTTCACGTGGCAGACTTGTTCTGCAGGAAACTTGATCCGCGAGACACTGGAACCGGTGTTACATTGTGATTGCCTTACAGATGCTCACTCTGTAAGAACTATTCATTGCTGGGCGCCATCAGGTCAAAAGTACCACCACTTGTTTTGCATATTAAGGAGCGGTAAACAGTCTGGCCGCCTGCGTTCAGCGTCTAACAGAAGCTTCTGTATGTGTTCTCGTGACAAGCCATAGCGAACACCTGTCTTATCTCTGTAAATATGCTAACCACTATGAAAATCTTGCTGCAAATGATACCTCTGTTTCTTTATGAATGCATTTAATGTTTCAAAGTGCAGCTGTCAAACCACATTGCTGATGTTTACAGAACTCGCAAATTTGTATGGCATTGTCAAAAGTTAAAGCCAAGGTGGTCCCAGGATATTCAGTATTACAAAGCAGCAGGTGGAAAAAATGAAGTGTGCTTGACTGAGGTCAATTGTGGTCATGTGTTCAAGGTTTTTTTTTTTCTGTCTTTATCATCGTAGGTCAACTACTACTTGCTAAATAATAAAGACACAACATGAAAACCACATGCCTAATATTGTGTATGTCGCCCCTGTGCCACCAGAGGAGCTCTGACCTGCCAGGGGCATAGATACAACCTCCAGGGGTGTCAAGCACTGGAATGCTGACAGCAGATCTTTTGGGTCCTATTGGTTAATGGATGGGTCATACATGGATCAGGCTTGTTATTATGCACCCTGCAGATGTTCAGAGCAATGCTTTGAGCTCTTTGTCGTGTTCCTCTAGTTGTTTCTGAGCAGGTTTTGTTGTGGAGTATGGCGCGTTGGTCTGCTGGAGGAGGCCACTACCATGGGTTAATATCATTCATCTGAGCGGTGTGATTGCGACAGTGTTTAGGTGTGTGGTGTGTGTCGAAGTAACATCCATGTGAAAGGCAGGATCCAAGGGTTCCCTGGAGAACATTGTCTTGTAACAAGACAATCATTTTTTAAAATTCTTTTGACCTGCTAGTGTTCTAACATTGTGGCTGATCTGGGTGTCAAAGCCATTTTGTTTAAAGTTTTTGCACTCTTGTACCTTAAAACAGGCTGTGGCTCAGGTGGTAGAGCGGGTTGTCCTCCAATCGCAAGGTTGGCGGTTTGATCCCCCGCCCCTCCACAGTCGAAGTGTCCTTGGACGAGACACTGAATCTGAAGTTGCTCCCAATGGCAGGCAGCACCTTACATGGTAGCTCTGTCGCCATTGGTGTATGAATGTGTGCATGAATGGGTGAATGAGAAACACATTGTAAAGTGCTTTCAATAAAAGCGCTACATAAGTGACCATTTACCAAAACGAAAAGGTGTTTAAATCAATCAGTGTTTTGTTTACTGCTCCTCTTCATTCAGTAAACTTATAATGAAATAATAATGAAAAGTAGTTTAAAGGCTTCGCTGTGAACCCTAATGAGAGAGAAAACCAGACAGCCAGTATTATTCAAATACTTCAACAGCAAGTATAAAATGCAGTGGTTACTTGGAAATCTCTTGGTATTGGAAGAAGAGGGTCATAACTGTGGTACTTTCCTGTGTCTTATTTTTTTGTGCAATCAACAGGAACCAGGTTCAACGGCAAGCTTTATGCAAAGCAGGACTAAGTGATAAGCTCAGGATAGAACACAAATGTGAGTGCCCCCCCCCAAGAAATATTTGTTTCATGTCACTGAAACGTCATGGAAAAAGGCTGATTGCGTAAACAATACGTTTGTTGTCGTTCCAGCATTCTGTTGTGTGTCTGTTTTATAAAGTTCCTGACATTTCCTTAAACCTGTTTGTTCCACTGAGTTTCACTGATCAACACTGATAATTAACTCAGTGAGCAACCTGCTTGACAGGAAGACAATGCACACATTTATTAGGCTGCAATTGTCAAGACGAGAATTAAAGTGGTAAATCATACAAATTAACAACTCCCATATGAAGTCATAAAATGGAAAAAGAAAATCCTATTTTGCACTGATAATAGTCTGTCTGTTAAATTTCAACTGTATATGAAGATTGTATCTCCTTGTAAAGCAGATCAGAAAAGCCACAAAGCTGCACTATTTAAATTTTTTTTTAAAAAGAAGTATTTTCAACAGTTTTTGAGCAACTTGCTTTTATTTGTAGATTTTCAAGGTTTTGTTAAATTACAGATGAAAACAATTAAAAATCATTCGAAGTATTAAAGTACAAATTAACCATAAAGAACTGTCCAAAACTGTAAATAACATCCACATCAATAATCTGCTTTTATGAATGATAATTTTTATCTTTTACAACTTCTTACTGTAAAATGACAGACTTTAAACTGTATTTAAATCATCCAAAGATATTGTTATTTAACAGATATTTATCAAGATTTTTTAAAGAAAAAGCATATTAAACATGTACATAATGTCCACATTTGTATTGAAAGTAATTTGTTTTGGGGTTTTTTTACAATATGACTATAAAATTACTCTGTTTAGCTGAACTTAAATCAACTAAAAATATCATTATTTTGCAGATAACAGCCATAATTGGTACTATTTTTACAGTTTTTGAACATTCTTTTTTTTAAGTGTACAGTGCGATAAGATAAAGAGCCAAACCACAGAGTTCTTGTGCTACATGGCCACAATACATTAATCTTCCAATATGATTTTGCATTTCCCTGATTGTAGCACACACAGCAGTTAGTGCAGGTGTTTTAGTCCTCGAGATTAGCCAGGATGCAAATTCTAAACTACAACGGTGGCCTTGATTGGCCTGTTCACTTAGAGGTTAATGATTAAACTTTAGCACTCAACTGAAAGCAATCAAACAGCCATGGCCACCTGTGACCAAACTGTCAGAGATCCACTCCCATAATAGAGCAATTCATTGGAACCCCTGTTCTCTTAATCAGTATAAGAATTTCCCTTAGATGCTAAAATTTAGGTAATTAAGGACCATTAAAAGTGTTGGCACATTAATTGTTTCATAAACTGGGTGTTGGGAAATCATTAGGATAAGAGATAAGAAAATATTTGACCTAATTTGATAAGCCTTCCACAGATCACTTCACAGATTGATAAGTGTTTGACTGCTCACATTCAGGTTGTTGCTTTGGAATTAGATTTTTAAGCAACATTTAAAGCTGATTCAATATTTCAATTTTTGCATTTTTAATTTGGACTGTAGCATCAGAGTCCAGTCACAGATCCAGTAGCACATGTACATCCAGCACATCACCGTGTCATAGTTTATATTTTCGACATGAGTAAGTTTTTACTTTCATTAGTGTGTTCATTGATTCATTCTTTCTTGAGGCCACATCCCATTGAGCTTGTATTGTGCGTTTCTCCTTAATCCAGTTGTTAAATGATTCACCAACCAGGTGACAAGTTTCCTTCACTCTCACCTGAGCATGTTGCCGCACCTCCACGCCCGCCACCTCCCGACCTGTCTGTCACCAGGAAGGACGGGTTAGAACAACATCCCTGGAGAGTCACAACACTTCGTCAGTGTGGGACCAAGCCGCGGTCGTGGGAGGGGGATGTATCTGTCATGCTGTGGTGGTCGGTGGCTCGAAGCGTAACGAGCTTTGCGTTTCTGATGAGGGAAGTGTAGCGGAGGAGCAGGAGCCGGTGCGCCAGAGAGAAACGGGATGTGCCAAGCGCAAAGGCGCACTCCAACAAACATGGCTCTCCCTCTCCAGCGGGTACCACATGTTGTCTCCTTACTGCTGTCTCTGCTGCGTTTCTGGATGTTGGTGTCGGCGGGCGAGCTGGAGATGGTCGACCGAGACGCACCTGAGCTCACCTGCAGCGAGGTAATTTCTGAATGACTTCAGAGAAAACGCGTGTGGAACCAGGAGGTTTCGGTTTGGCTATGGCCTCCCCAGTTATAATTACCGTAATAATATACTAATTACTATGCATTGATACAGTATAATTGCTGTTTATTATTTTTTTTGTTGTGTCACACAACTATCAGGCACAAATCACTAATAGGTGGTTTATATTTAAGTTAGTCCAGTTAACTCTTGTTTGGAGGTTCCAAATTTCCTTGTTATCAATGAAAACTGTAGTCATTTGATATTTAGAGCAAGAGGTTTTGAGGGTGAATTAGGAGAAACAAGCCATAGGGAAAGCGATTAGAGTTTAACGTCCATTACTTATTTACCACTGTGTTGGAGCATGACACCTTACCCCACTGCCCCATTTCCAAGGAGGATAACTTGAGTTTTGCTTCATAGAGGTAAGCGAACCAGAGAAAACTTAAGTATATTTAATTTGAAACAATCAGCCTTGTGAACAATAGGAAGGTTGTTTTACCTTTTATTTTGCTTTTACAGCTAAAACACATTCATTTATATCAATATGATGCATATGTGTCAGATTATGACAAAGCAAAGTCAGAGCACAGAAAGGAGGAAATGAAAGAAACTTCAGTAGCATCCATTATAGAACAACTAACACATCACGCAAGCACCAGTTAAAAATGCAGGAAGCACTTCTTTTTCATTTTTTCCAACTGTTTAACACAAACTGTGTTGGCTCGTTTACAGTCAGGGTGCATGTGCAGTAAGGGGGTGGATGTTGGGGTATATAAAAACTGAGAGAGAACATTATGAAAGAAATACACAAAGCAAACATTTATCAGAAATTAGAAAACTGTATGTACATATTGACATCGGGCCTCCTATGTGTGATGGTTGTGAGGTGGGATCAAACACCTTGTTTATATTGTATTATAGTGAACATTAATTTCCTCCAGTGCTCAAATGACGTGACAGATTTCCACTTTCTCACAATGATTCTGACTAAAATGGCTGATTGGTACCACAAATAATGGTGGTGTAGTTTACAAGTTACATTAAAAATTGGCTTAAAATATGTTTCAGTACACCTGTGTGTTTTTCCTTTTATTTGTCACTACGACCACATTGAAAATACTTTCATGTAAACCTGGATCCGATTCAACAGTTACATGTCTTAAGTTTGTAACAAGTGCAAAATGTAGTTATGTCAATTTCTTTTTAACCTTTTGAACATGTTCATGCGGTGTTTGTTTTTATATGCTGGAGGACACATCTTGAATGAAATGCTCTTTCAACACGACTAGCGGTTTCTTAAGTAATGAACCTATAAAACTGGTCTGTCCGCTTATTCCTCGGAGCTTAACTAATAACTTTCTTCAGAATCAGTTTATAATCAAAACATGAATGACTACAACAACAACTTTGCAGTGCAGAGTAATTTGACAGTGTTTTGGCGGCTGCAGTGAGTAGCAGAGAGGTGGGGACTTTATCCATTCATCTACATGTTGTAAAGAATGCAAAGGTGTAGAATTACTTTGAAGTCACTGTAAGGCAGGAAAGAGTTATTTCCATGGAAAAAAACAAAACAAAACAAACATGTACATTTTTAATTTTAATAAACAGAGAAGAGTTTTAGTGCTTTAATTAAAGGCTGGAGAGGGACTTTAACTGGTGGTCTCAGACTTTTAGGCTTTATTGTATGTACAAAGCTCTGAGGAGTTAAAATTGAAATTTATTGCAATCCATAAATATTTGCACTGAAAATTAGGACAAACAATGCAAACATGTCCAATAAACAGTAAAGTAGAAATACATCAGAAACTATTATATTTCTGCCATACTAATGTTAATGTTCATTCAAAACTTGTAATTTTCTATTAATCCTTGAATCCTCAAATGTATTTTTACTGTTAATAATTAGGACTTTAACTTGTGGTAGTTTCATTTCTGTCAAGACTCTGGATATTTCCTTTGTTTCCTTCATTTCTCATTTACATCTTTTCTTTCTTCAGGGTTTGACCGACTGCCATGTGAGCTCAGGTAGCTACGTGATCATACAGCTTGTCTTACAGTAACATATCAATGAGCCTGCAGTCGTATAGAGCAGAGATATTCTTCTTTTCACAGGCTCTCAGTTCTCTGCTCTTCTGCCTGATCCGTTTGGCTCAGTGGACGTCACTGAGGTGCAGCTAAAAGTCATTCTGTGCTGTTCGGCCAGACGAGACTGTGAAATATGCCTGCAAATCGTCATCACTGTCCAAGGTACTGTCGCTTTGCCAAACAGCATGCATCATTGATGTTGTTGGGTAGGGTGACGCCCTTGAATCAAAAAGTTTCCTTTTTGCAACAGCTATTTTTTTTTGCTTTCCATTTCCAAAGCAACGTCATTGTTATCTTAGTTGTTCAACTTGTCAACCCATGACACACGCTCTTAAAACACTGCCTTCACCACACTGGTTTTTACTAACTGCAGCTGCACTGTGCATGTCGTTGCAGAAGTGGACAGAGCAGTGGATGTTTCCGGGGAGTCAGGTGACGACGGCGATGAGGAGGGTTAGTTTGTGCCTGCAGAAGAGTTGAAGAACCATTAGATTCATCATAAGAATGTTACCTTTTCATACTTTTTCGAATTTTTTGATCAGCTTTCTCTGTTTTCCCTTTACTGTCTGTGTTACAGCTTTGGTGAAAGTACATCTCAGCTCCCCAGTTACCAAAGAAGTTTGGAAGAAACTTCAGTTTAAACTAGTCTACTCCAATTTAGGCCATCCCTCTGAACAGGCCAGACATGAGGTAACATTGCGCTGGTGTGAGGGGAACACCTCATGTCGGTATTTGTTTCTGTTGTTGATTACCTAGTGAACTAGTTTTCAGGGGTGGAAAGTAAAGTAGTACTGAAGTACAATTTTGAGGTATCTGAACTTGATTATTTCCATTTTAAACTGCATAGGTCACCAGTCCATAACAAGGCTGATTAAAGACAGACAACTAGGCACATTTAGGACCAATTCATTAACCTACCAAGCAAATTTGACACGTCGAGGTACCATCCGGAGCTTTATTGCTCTCTGAGGTGACAGTGCCGACTAACAAAAAAAAAAAGAACAAAAAACAAAAACAAGATTGGTTGAGGCTGGTTGGAAGAAGCCGGAGAACCCAGAGAGAACCCACGCTGCACGGGGAGAACATGCAAACTCCACGCAGAAAGATCCTGGGTGTACTCACCGGGACGCGAACCGGCGACCTTCTTGCTGCGAGGCAATGATGCGAACCACAGACCACCTGCCCCAGATTTTAAATTGTTATTGAAATTTACTGACATTTATTGAAATTCAATGACTCTTCAACTACAAGTTAACAATACAACCAAACAGTACCACAATATACTTGTTTAAAATAATACTAATTTTGCAAATATTCACAAGTCAACTTTATGACTGTGTTAAATATCCTTTTTGACCTTTACTTATCCAATTTGTTTTTAAAACAGTTAACTGAAGCAGTGGAAGTGTGAAGTTGATCCTTAATCTGAATAATTACACCTATAACTTGACCTTTCCAAGCCTGATATCCCTTTAAAACATGGTATTAATACAGCTCCTCTCTGAATCCTCTCAGTTTCTTCTATACATTTTAGTTTGTAAGGACAATGAGCCATACTTGCAAATTCAAGATGAACTCGCAGGGAGTATTTATACTAAAACGTCTTTTTTGTCTTCCACCGGCAGAGCCACCAAATCTCCAACTGATATATTACCATTATTATCATTTTGTGTCCTGATGTAAATGCTTATGTTTAGAAAGCAGGGGAAGCATTTGTGACACAGAACTTTGCTTTTTTTTTTTTCTTTTCTTTTCTAACGTGTTAATTATGTATCTCAACCAACCATTGCAGTAAAGTGTTACATGCACATTACACTCTTAATGTCATTTGTTGTGATATCAGTCACTGGTGGCATTTTATTGCAGAACAAATACTAAAAAAATACTTGACGTATATTTTATTGACGCTACTTTTACTTGTAATTTTATAAATGCTTTTACAGTGTTGCATCAGTACTTTCTTTGTCTACCTTGGTAGAAGATTTGAATACTGCCTCCACCACTGCTGATCTCTCTGCGTTCCTACTAACCGACCTGATCAGACACTACTTTCCATAGATCTTTGTATTTCACTGTGATTGTCGTTATTTTGTGATTTAAATACTTAAAGTTTACGACATTCCTGCAAATACAGCTGCAGCTGACAGAGAAAGTGGAGTTAGGCAGTCCTGTTGAGGTCCACGCATATTCAAAGGGAACACACGGCAAGAAGAACATCACCATTCCATCCTTAGAAGAAGGTGAGTGTCGTAATGTGGGAAAAAAAAGACACCGAATAGAAGAGCAGTGTCACTGAACATCTTCTATTTCACTCTTTCTTTCAGTTTGCTCCGTTAAGCTTGAGGGGAATATAAAGGAATGTGATGGTAAGAGAGCTTGTAAAATTTTAAAGAATATTTGAACTTTTGAACTGCTGTAAAGTAGTTTCGTGTTCTCTGCCTCCACCTGTTGTTTAACCAGTCGAGCATGAAGTATTCACGTGCTGCTGAGCATTTGCCAGCAAAAACAGCTTCACATACACAACTAGTGGTTCAGCACAGGTAGAATTTCTGATGGCCGACATATTTCTGTCTCAGTTCCCAAACTTCAAGCAGTGACTGATCATAAGGAGAATGTGGTTCTACAACTGCAGAACAATGACACCAGACAAGAAGAAGTCATGTTTCAGATGGATTGGAATGGACGCTCTGGCGAAGCTCTTGCATGGGTGAGTGAATCCTAAATAGGATTCATATGTATTCATATTCATGTTATCATATAAGTCTGTATAATCTGTGTAACATTTTCTAATCTGTGCAGCCCAAAGGCAACACAGAGAGGGCAATCCCATCACACGACATTGCCCCATGCCTGTGCTTCAAGGTAGCTGACATGTTAACTAACACCAATGCAAGTCTTTTGCAAATTAAATAAAATGAAATGTAAAAAAGAAAACCCACTTTATATACAGGTGTGGTGGAAGGGAAAGGACCTGCGGAGAGAATACTGCCCTTTCAAAAATCAACAAGGTACAGGGAGCTACGAGTGGTCACTCACAGATCAAGATACATTTGCATGGTTAATGATTTTATAGGCACACAGCTCAGGTTTGCTCTTCTTTTCCAGATGCACTTGAAAGAATGCAGCACAATGTGTCTCTGTCAGTGGCGGAGGCTCGGATGAGGAATGGTGGAGCAGGGCTGAGCTGGAATGTAACCGCCCCCTGCAGACTGGAGGCAGAAGTATGGCTGTGCAAGAAAGACCCAGCCAGAGGCCAGTGTGACGAGGTGGCAGGGTCCAGACAGAGACTACAGGCTGGCTGGACCGCAACACGCAGTGGACACTGGGTAAAACCACTAAAGCGCTAGCATGCAAAAACCAAAAACCAAAATCAAAAAGAAGATCTATATTTCTTTCTGGAAATTAAGTTTTTATATTTTGTGCGTTCAAATAAATGGTCAATCATACTTAAATTTGATGTCCCCATCTGAAGGTTCAAGCCTCTCATTTATTTTTATTTTGTTGGCCCCCCCCCAAAAAATGTTGGAATTACTTGAACACCTATGCAGTGTTTCCCCTCAGGTTGCTAAAACCCAAGAAAACTCAGTAACTCGTGAAAACAGTGTAACTACAACTTAAACCTCTGCTTTACTGCAAAGAGTGTTCAGTTTAGATCATGACTGATCATGTTACAAATCAAGCCAGGTGCTTTAAGAGTCACTTCCTGCCTTGCAAGCTGGTGGGAGATTCTTTGATTTTGAATACACAATGAGCTTTTAAAACTTGTTTAAGAAGGGTAATGTATCACAAGTATCAAAGTTATTATTATAAGGAGATTTGGAAAATAGTGTTTAATTAATGCATTGTATTGTCAAAATATTAAACCAAGAAGACACAGAATGTTCATAAATATAAAACCTCACCCTGATGAAGACATAGACTACCAAGTCAGATTAATGAGACTCATTGATAATGAAAGCAGTCTGAGTTTTGACACAAGTTAACAGGAGCTCAAGTTTGGTTTGTTGCTTCCAGCTGTTTGTAGGAGTCTTTCCTCTGAGTTTATCAAATACCTGCAGCATCAAACAGCAGCTGGATCTATATGGGTGTCTTCAAAGTGAGGGAGTTGCACACTTATAAGCACTTCGCACAACTGCAGTTACTTTATCAATTCCCTATAATCCTAAATCATCCACAACATGGACACAGGATTGATCAGCATCTAGCAACAAGTCACGCTTAACTCCTCTTCACCTCACACAGATGAGCTGTTGTCACACAGAGAAACAGTTTATAAGCAGCAGTTAAATCATTTGTGATTATAGTGAATTTAAATTAAGTCTTGTTTATAATGCATCATTGTGCATCACGTCACTGGCAATAACATATTACGTGCATACAGTGGCTCTCTCCATCACTGTCATCGGCATGTCTGAACGAAGCTGTGAGAAATATTATTGTAAAGTGTCTTAATGACAGAATAATAAAGCCGACAATGTTACAGGTCCCATGTCTGAAAAAGATGTCATACATGAAAACAACATCCACACTTGATGCATCCATATTTGTACACACACTTACTGTTTATACAAATCAAATTCAGTCGTGGAAGTTGCTGAGCTTTGGTTTATTTAATGATGTGATGAAGGAACAAATCCCCTGTTTTACAGATCTGTGTCTGCGACCCGATGGAAGCAGTGTGAAGAGTTGTGATGTCTTTTCTGTTTAGACATTTGGGGAAGAGGCCAGAAATTTTAAAACATTGTGTGTAATGCATTAGAGTTTGTTCCTACTGGAGGCAATGAAACAGGGGGGACAGTGGAGGAGAGTCGGCTGAAGCATACTTTTGTAAAGCAGCAGCAGCAGGTGGAGGGCAACAGAGAGTGCTGTGAGTTTGTAGATAGCAGAGAGTCTTTGTTATCAGCATTTGTAGATATCAGTGTTGCATTGATTTCAGTTAAGCGCCGCGTATTCCCCAAGGTGAGGTATTTGCAGCGCTCCAAAAACCAAATCTTACGTCATGGTTAATGATAAATGTTCTCTTTGTTTTTGTCACGTTTTATTAATTCATTTATATCTTCTTTTCAGCAAACAGGAGAGTTCAACATGTCATCTCATCCTCTGCTTTGTGTTCAGGTGACACTTGTATTAGAACTTAATATGTATAAGATATGAAAATATAATTTATTACAGCACATTGTACTAACTTGACCTACTTTCTTCTTCTCCAGTTAAAGATTAAAGGAATGAGGTCATACTTGGAGCCCCAGTGTCCATTTATAAGTAAGCCTATTAATTATTTCCCAGACCAGGAATAAATGAGGAATGTTTGACTTTAATCTACATTTGTATTTGGCAGATGCCTCCACATTGGTCCTCTTCACTGTACATTGGTGGTTAAAAATGTTATAGTGCCTGTGAAACTATTTAACATTATTTTAAAAGACTTCACATTTCATTTATTATTCCAGCATCTCGATCGAGATGGGCAGTGCCTCTTCTCACTGGATTATTCTTGATGTGCTTGATCATACTAGGAGCTTATATTACACAAGGGATCCTAAAAGGTCAGTTGTCCATTTGTGGGTCATTGAATATTAATGGCACATTTAGGAAAATATGTTAACTTGATCTCTGTTTTCCATCTAGGCTATGTTTGGAAATGGTTAAAAGAGGATGATGTTAAAGGTATGAGAAAACCTGACACTCATATTACAATGTTCATACTTTTATTCATATATGTGTTGGGGTGTATGAATATTTTTCTCTTTAAATGTACATTGTATATCATACTCTTTATTCCTAAATCTGCATGTACAGTAAGTTTTTATGCATCTGTATCTTTACTAATTTCTACAGTAAGCTGCGTTACAGCTCACTTTTCTTTGCAGGAATAAATAATATTTTTTTGAAATAACATAACAAAAACATACTGTAATGTTTAGGGAAGCACACTTCTGTTACCGATGAGAGGGTTAGATAAGACGGTTGGCATCACCTTCTTGTGAGCCTGTTAAAAATCAGATTACAGCCAGCACAAACACTGGAAATGGAGAAACATCCAGCATGACTCTGTGCAGTGGTCACAAAATCACTATGAGGTTAACAAAGGAGACGCAGCATGTTAACTGGTGAACTAGTGAATACTTCAAAATGTTAGGTCATTATTACATTATTTTGCATGAAGTGTATTAAACCTGCAACGACTCTTTTGGTCACTTGGGGGCAGAAGAAACAAATCACCATCTTTTAAGTTGGCTTGGCCTGTTTAAGGGATTTACACATTCAGCGGTTATTTAATACTTTTGGTAATTACACCAACTTGATATTAAGTGTTATGTGAGCTAAAATGTATGCATTGATAGATCCATTATCTATACACCGCTTAATCCTCTCGAGAGTCGCAGGAGGGCTGGAGTTTATCCCAGCTGAGTTAGGGTGAAGGCAGGGGACACCCTGGACAGGTCGCCAGTCTATCACAGGGCTACACTTAGAGACAGACAACCAAGCACACTCACATTCACACCTACAGACAATTTAGAATCACCAATTAAACCTCAACATGTTTTCGGACTGTGTGGGAGGAAGCCGGAGAACCCGGAGGGAACCCACGCTGCACGGGGAGAACATGCAAACTCCATGCAAAAAGATCCCGGTGCCCCCACCCGGACACAAACTGGCAACCTTCTTGCTGCGAGGCAACAGTGCTAACCGACTGCGCCACCTTGCAGCCCGTGCCTGAATTTAACAAATTAACAAATAATTTTTTTTTCCCTCAAAATTTGCTAGAAATTATAAGTGTTATTTTGAACACAGTTGGATTGTGAGAATTTAGAACCTGATGAGCTCAGCAGCAGTAAATAAAATTTTTAACAGGGAGTCGCAACTTGACCTATGAAGTTTGAAAGCCATGGATGGTAATGTAGATTTCCATGGAGGAAGTCAAGGACATATTTTTTTCTCAAGAAATTAGGTTTTCAAGTCCTTAAAGAACTTTATGCTACCAATTATGAAGTAATTGGTAATTTAAAATACCGCTTTTTGTATCGGAAAGGCTTATTCCCTCAACTCAGTATCACTTATTGATTGAACGTAGTTACATTAGATGCTGTCATAATTGAAAAAGACTGATACAAGGTCCTGCATTTTTTATTTTATTTTATTTTTTTGTTGAGTCTAAACATGAGTTTTTAGTGTACAACAGGTTTTTGACACTGCGAACAGGAGTCTATTGCAACGTGCGTCCAGGCCGGACAGCTAAAAGATGGGCTTGATATGAGGGAGAATTCACGTCCAATGTACATGTCTGCATTGATATTAAAAAAATGATTGATTATAACAGTTTTAATTTTCTGTTTCAGGGGCTGTGGGTGGCGGTCATGTGGTGCTGCTGTACTCGCCCGATGATGACCAGGGCCTGCCAGGGTTGCTGTGCCATTTGGGTTCATCCCTGCAGGCTCTTGGCTTCAGTGTGTCTTTGGACCTGTGGAGCCAGGCTGAGCTCAGCATGCTGGGCCCAGTGCCATGGCTCCACTCGCGATTGGACAGACTACAAAGGCAGGGAGGCAAAGTGGTGCTAGTCCTAACCCGGGCCACCTGGACGAAGGCAGAAGAGTGGGGAGCTAGGAGCTGGGAGAGAAACACTTCCAGGGAGAGGAGCAGAGACCAGGAGGAAGAGGATACAGGAAGAAGCCATCCTGCATCTTCTCCGCATGCAGATGTCTTTAGCGCTTCACTGAGCTGTATTCTCGCCGACTATTTACAAGGACGTGCAGGTGAGCGCTTTATGCTGGTGCAGTTTGAGTCTCTGCCACCTGAACTTCCGGGTAGTTTAAGGCCACTGCCACAACTGTTCCGCGGCCTTCATGTCTACAGCCTTCCCTCCCAGAGTCTGGGTTTTCTGACTGAACTGGCTGGAGCTCAGCAAATGGCTAGTGCATCAGCAAGACGGAAAAGGGCAGGCGGGCTCAGGATGGCGTCCCGAGCTCTGGCCCAAAGGCTGTCAGGGTTTACAGCAGGGACTAATGTGTTACGGCTTGCGGGGATGTCCCAGAGCTGTGTTGGTGTAGGGGTGGAGGACTCTGGGGAAACTGTGCCCTTACAGCCATGTCTTATTACGCCCCCATCCAGCCCTGACACAAACCCCAAGGTCAATGAAATGGACTGGGTCTGACACCAAGAGAAGGACGCCCATGCTTCAGTGTTAGGAGGAGCAGCCAGTACTAACTTATAAGTACCTGAAGTGATGCACTGGAAGATACTCAGGAAACTATCAGTATTAATTTGCAGCTTTTGTATTTGTTGATCTAAACATCTGGCATCAAGGGTCTGTTGAAAACGAGGAGTTTTATGTATGTAGCAGCAGAAAGAATAGCTTGGTTTTTTTTTGTTTTTGTTTTGTTTGTTTGTTTTTTATATATATAAAAGCTGGATTGTTGGAGCTTGAGCTGTTGAGGGGATTTTTTAAAATTAAACTTTCAACATTAAATCACCAGAAAATACAAGAAAAAAGATGACAGCAGTTGTACACAGCTTGAATGTACAAAAGTGCTCCATGATGAAGATATTTCTAAGGCAATGTGGTTCAATACGGCATTAAAATTACACAAAAATGCAACAAAATGTCCCATTGAAGTTCATGGCTCTATTATTTTGCAAACCCTTTCGCAATTTTTCAAGCTTAAACCAAACCACTGTGTGAGTTTACACCTTTCCAAGTACATAACGTTTTGCCTGCACATGTATTGCATACTAAAAGTCCTGGAAGGCATGAAGAAAACAATAAATAAATGCACTGTCTCAGACTATATTCTGACTGTAAGAATATATTCAACCAAGCATGTTGAGTTGGTTTTATACTGTGTCTTGTCTAAGTGTTAAAAATGGCATTAAATAAAGATTTCATCGTAGTACGCTTGACTCATTTTTACCCTTAAGGCAATTAGAGTTTTTTCATTTTCCTTTTCATCTTCAACCAGATTTTATTTTAAAAGATTGTGTTTAAAGAGCAAGTTCACACTGTGCCCTACAAACAACTGTACTTTGAATGCTTAGTTCAAAGATTTTGTCAACACTGTAAAAAAAGTTAATATTCTGGCAGCAACCATCTAAACAAATACAGTCATTTCCCATCAATAAATAAACACACTTTCTAGCCTTAGTTGTTCATAAGCTCATACACATTTATTGGGCTAATAACAATAATTTATACGATGCATTTAGTAAAGGATACTTACATGTTTAGAAACAATAAAATTCTCTATTATTCATAAGATATATGTTATGACATCTAGATAAACACCGTTGTTTGGACTGATTATCAAAGCTTATAAATATTACAAAGCACATTCATTTATTCATCATTATTGTAACAAAAAGTCCTTTAACCTCTTAAGATCCGAGCTCTTGATTGATGTGCATTTTTTTATTTCTCTTTGCTATTTGATCTGATCAAATAGCAAAGAGAATTAAAAAAAATAAAAAATAAAGAAAATAAAAATATACAAAAATATATATTTGAACAAATATTTTTTTTAAAAATAAAAAAAATTAAATAAGAAAAATTAAAAATAAATTAAAAAATGTAACTACTGTGGTAATATAACCCAAAATGTGATGTCCAGGCAGGTGGATGCCAGGTCTTAAGATGTTAATTACACAACATACAAACAAATCAATGCAAAATGACTGAAGCAATATATTTTTTTTTTTTTGTTAACCGTCACCAATTATATCTAATTATAAAAATATAGTTACAGACTTAAACTTTAAGAGTTTCAGGTGTTAAATAGAAAGGAAATATTAGTAAAAATGTCCAACTGTATTTAAACAGCAAAAATAATCTCGATGAATCTATCTTCTTTTTTTAAAAAAAAAAAAAAATGGAAATGTTGTAGTTATCTAAAGTTGCAGATTTATAATTTACATTAGACATGGGAATCCACATTATATTTTTGTAATGTTCTAAAGTAGAGAACAAAAATGATTGAAGTTTTTTTTGTTATTTTATTAATAGTGAAACAGAAAAGCAAAACGTTTTCAACATGTTTTTGATCATCTTGACATCACTTGTTGTTTAAATTGATAAATGACGGTGTTCCTGATGGCAGCTCTGACTCTCGGCAGGTCTCGTGAAGCTGACTGTTGACTGATTGGTTGTTCATTGAATCCCGGCGGCTTTGGGCGGCGCCATATCCTGTGTGGCAGCTGCATGGCAAACACAGAACCGCCTGGAAGCTGTCCGCTCCCTCATCAGCCACACTACAGCCCGGCGACACCGCACATGAGCCTGGATGAGCAGCCCCAGCGTTAGCTAGCAAGTCGCCGCAGAAATGGCCCGCTTGAAGCGTTAAAAGTGGCTCTTCAAGATGTGAAACTCCGCCTGCGTTGTGTGAAGCAGCAGGGACTCAGACAATCATCGGTGGTGCAGCGGACGGTGGTGTTTTTTTTTCTTTTCTTCCCAATAAAGGTAACACCAGAATGGCCAATAAAAAGCAGTGCAGCTAGCTAATTTTACCGTAACTGTAATGTAGGCTGCTTAGCGGGTTATTAAATATCACCAGGAGGACTTGCACTCTTAACATAGAGTTAAATGGACTTTAAAGATTCATCGGACAGATAGGCAGACCGTGATGGACAACGTTAGCTCAGGCTAACAGCTATCTACTGACCTTAGCCAGCTGCTAGTCGGCTAATTTTTTGTGGTGCTGATGCTGAGCTAAGCTAACCCTGAAACTACAGCATCCCGCGATTTTTATACCTTTTCTAACAAGACTAGCGTTAAATGACTGTAACCAAATTTAGAGAGAGAAATTTTAGAGTCCCTGACCTACTTGAGGATCATATTCAGGTGACTGTCTGGTGTAAATTTCGCTCTAAATATGAAATTCAATGAGCCCTGTAGGTAGACAAAACATCTGGACCGCATTGTAGCTACAGTAGAGCTAAAAAAATACCAAAATAAAAGCATCTAGTTAAAACATCACAACTCTGACAGTCTGTAAATATGATCATTTATCTTTTTACATAATTTTGGGGGGCTGTTTTGCCCCAATTGGACAGTTAAAGATGATGAGGGGTTGAGAAACATGCAACACTCAAAACTGATCATTTAAAGCATCTGAGAAGTATTGCCATTGTATATTGCACAGCTTCAGATTGTAGTACACTATATCCTACAGATGTTTTTGTTTTTTACTCCATCTCCATAAGTGATATCCAGTTGATGCAAGTTATGCTAAAACATTGTAAAAACTTTTTTTTGAAAGTGCAGATGTGTTTGCTTGTTGGGATGATCACTGAGAAGTATTTTTGCCTTTATGATAATTAAGTGTCTGTGTGCAGGATCATGTGGTGGACCTGGCCCTTCCTTCCTGCTCTGGTGCTTCTCTCGGAGCTCTCTGTGGTGAGAGTCCAGACGGCACCGTGCCAGACCTGCCGAAAACTCACTGAGAGTTTCATTACGGTACTGCAGTTAACTTAATGAACCATCAATTCACACTTGTTGTTTATTTTAGCTGTGCTTTTTTAATTTTCAACTCTGTTAAATTTCCCTCATTTTAGGGCTTGGAGAGAACAGCCAACAAGAACTTTGGTGGAGGTAACACTGCCTGGGAGGAGGAGAAGCTGGCCAAGTATGCACGCAGGTAAGTTTTCTTTAGCATCTCACCTACTGAAGACTTGTTCACTTTGTCTGAGTCATCTGATATTGTGACCTGCTTTTTAAAATTTGCACTACTTAAACCTTTCTGAAGAAAGTGGTTCACGTCCTTTGTCTTCTCTGCACATTTGCATGATAATTTGTGTGAATGATTACATAAGACGGCTGATTTTAAATGTGACATTTGGTGGCTAAGAGCAAGGTTGCTGGGGTAGGGAAGCATGTGCTGCATAATTTGACAAGTGTCTTAATACTCTAATCTTGTTTCAGTGAGACTCGGCTCCTGGAGATAGTAGAGGCTGCTTGTGAGAAAACAGATTTTGAATGTAATCAGCTGCTGGAGCAGATAGAGGACCAAGTGGAGACATGGTGGTTCCACAGGTAAACATGTGTCCATTAAATGTAACTGAGATGCAATTTCACAACAACAAAAATAAGACTACTATTACATTATTCAAATTATAAGAGTGCCCTTATTGTCTTTTAATTTTGTTTTGAGCAACTGTACTTAATCCGTTTTAATCCTTGATTCAATTTATTTTTTGTCTAAGAGAGTGTTGGTTCCATCGTGTTGTGCTAAAATGTATTGTCACCCTCCTGTGTTGACTGACGTGCTGTGTATGTTCTACAGGCAGCAGGAAGCACCGGATCTGTTTGAGTGGCTGTGCATAGAGGAGCTGAGACTCTGCTGTCCACCTGGACGCTTTGGACCTGATTGCAAAGGTGTGAGCAACATACAGCATTAAACACAAGCTGCCTGATATCCGCACAGGAAATCCTACCGTGTCAAATTCAGTTTTTGGTTGTTTTTTTCCAGGTTAAATGTGATTTAATAAATATGTAAAACCCAGTGATGGTAATTAGAATCATGTTAATCCAAAAGCTTTGGTCTGAAGACTGCCAGAGTACAACTAATATCAGGTTTATCCTCTACAGAGTGTCCATCAGGGCCCAGTGGTGTGTGTGGAGGACTGGGCCGCTGTGAGGGAGAAGGTACTCGCCTTGGCGATGGAGAGTGTGTGTGCGATCCCGGATACTCGGGCAATCTGTGCCAGAGCTGCGCTGATGGTTACTACAGAGAGAAAAGGTCCAATGACAGCACAGCAGCCTGTGCAGGTACTTCAGAATCAGACAACTGATTCTAAATTCTGTTTTTGAGACAGCTAAACTTGACCCTCTCCCTGCATCTGTGCCTGTCATCGTTTGTAGCGTGCTACCATTCATGTAAGAAGTGCTCAGGGCCACAGGACTACAAATGCCTTGACTGCAAACCCGGCTGGATCCTTCATGACAACAAGTGTGTGGGTGAGTGTGACATCAGAGGTCAATTCGTTACATTTCGGAGATTCTGTGCCAGTTTTCTGGATGCGTTGTTCGACTGCCCTTATCTGTCTCTTAGACATTGATGAGTGTGGTACAGAGCTGGCTCGCTGTCCTTCTAACACCTACTGTCACAACACAGAGGGATCATATGAATGCAGAGGTATGCTCCCTTGTGTATTGTCTTTTTATGGTTGTGTATTCAGTGTCCTGTACCTAATGAAGTCACGCAGATACTTTGTAGATTTGTAGATTTTATGCTACTGGAGCGATAAGAGGCAGATTTTAATAACATCTGCAAAATTGGGGAGATTATCTTTGCTGCATCTCATCACAAAATCCTTGTCGGCATTGTTTGTTTGTTCCCTGCAGCTCCATCCAGAAACATTCAGGTTACTGAAACTGGTCAAATCAGACGAGTTAATATTTAGCATTTTTCCTTTAAAAGGGCTTAAATGTTTCATAGATCATCAATTTTCTGTAAATTAATTATTGCTGTTCGAGTTAGGTGGTTAATGTAAACTTCATTAGCTTCATTAAACTTCATTCTTGCAATTGTCAATATAACATTTAATGGAAAATGTAGGATGTGATGTTGACCACTACACTTCTGTTGTGTCCAGGCTGTGACCAGGCATGTGTGGGCTGCATGGGTAGTGGTCCTGCCCGCTGTAAGAAATGTGCACGTGGCTACAGATTGAAGGGAGCAAAGTGTCTTGGTGAGTATATAATTTGCATTTCTACTTCTTTAGATAATTCTTGGCATCCTGATGTCCTTTAAATGTATTTTTTTTTCTTCCTCGCACAGATATAGATGAATGTAGTGAACGTGCAATAGCATGCCCAGGACTCAATGAGGCCTGCATCAACGAGGAGGGCTCCTTCCACTGTGACTGTGCCGATGGATTTATTAGAAGAGATAGCATTTGTGTTGAGAATAAGCCTCCTCGTAAGTAGGAGTTGTAAAGAATATACAAATGCATACATAGCTTCTCAGAGTTCTTCCTTTCTATGTTTCTTTTCTTTTTTTTACCTCCTTAGCTGGCCCAGACAAGGGACTATTTGACGACATGACAGACGATGAGGTCCTTGTGCTGCAGCAGATGTTCTTTGGCGTTGTAATCTGTGCTCTGGCGACGCTTGCTGCTAAGGGTGACATGGTCTTCACAGCCATTTTCATCGGAGGTGTGGCTGCTATGGCTGGATACTGGCTGACAGAGAAGGGAGACTACATGCTGGACGGATTTCTGAAGGGACGCTAGACCGTCTGGGACCACGATTCGATAAGAGGAAGTTGGAATACCAGCCAATTACGGTGAATGAGACTCAGTTTGGGGCAGGAAACTATCTTTACAAAGCTAGCCTTTCAGGGATTTTCTTTTGATCGAAGAGTTACTTAAAAGGGCTCGGGTTTGTTAATTTCTGTTTATGAATAGGATAATACAGGAAAAGGCAAGAACTTGAAGACTTTGAAGCTGAAAATGTAAGAGGATTAACAAAGCAACACTGCACTGATATAAAGGAACTGAACTTAATCTCCCCTACCTCAACTTTGTTGGGAACAAGGGTGACATAAAGACCACTACTGATTGTGAAAATCTATTATGCATTTTGATGTCTCATCTGGCCTCTATGTCGCTCAAGAAAAGATGTCGTTTTCTTTCACACAATGAAAACCTCCTGTTATCATGTCCATCCACGTTTTTTTCACTAATTTCCCCATCATTTGAATGGTGCATAAGTTTTGACTGTCAGGTTACTGCAACGCTTAAGCTTATCGCTTATAGGCATGGGATCAGATGAAGATAGCTGAAGAATTTCCCAAATCACCCTCCAACAGAGCACTCTGGGATATTTCCATTAGGAACGACTGGTTGTTTATCTTCACAGAATGACTTTTTACCTCCTCCTCCTCCTCCTTGAATGATTCTTTTAAGTAATAATGCATGATAATAGGATTTGAAATGAAAGGTACTGAACCGTATGTATTTATTTATTGTCTTATTTTGGCATGGAAGATTAACTTTTAATAGCTGCTGGATCACCAGCGTTACTGCTTAGTGAGTGTGTGAGGGAATGTGCTTTAGGTAAATAGCAGCTCCGGTCTGGATGATGCAAAGCTATTTTCTGTTGCCTTTTGTTTTGAAAGCACTATTTGTTTGTTGATGTTTATCATATATATTTTTTTTCTTGACATTTCCTCATTTTTGTGTGCATTATCCATGCAGATTTCAATCTGTTCAATTGTAATTCTAGCAGACATAGTAGCATCATGTCGGGGAGCCACTGGAGCATCACTTTCTTACCCGTCCATCTAATTTATCTTTGATTTTCCTTGTGTTGAATGTTGTCCACAGAGTCCTGATTCATTATAGATGTTTGCTTTAGAATAAAAAAAAAATCTGCCACTCCTCATGTTTGATTTGAATTTTTAATTAGATTTTGTTAAGCTTTCTCTGCTCTTTACGTGGACACAACTGGGGAAAACGTTCTACTTGCATTTTAAATTACAAGGCATGCAAAGGAGTCAGTGACAGGAGTCCCGGGCTAACTGTGTACTGTGACGTGAACCTTTGTGCAAGCAGAACAGAAATATTTAAGGTTTCAGTAAAATACTCAATAGCTTAATTTGCTTCTTCTAAGTTTAACACCCCCTAGAAATACTCATGATCATTCAGTAGTTACATGTACTGTATAATCTTAGCTGTCATTTTTCATGCATACATATGAGGCCTGAGTTTTACATTTTGACTTCTTGAAGAGCTTCAGCCTATTTCAGTGTTCCACTCCAGTTAATGGGGTTGAGGCGCAGCAGTTCTCTCTCCTTCAGGACCTCCTGGGAACGTGTTAGTGCTCTATCCCTCCAGCTCTGCTCCATTAGCTGTACACATAAAACACACGCACACAGATGAGGAGGGGGGGAAGCCAACCTCAGACACTCCCTACATTGTTGTAACCTGAGAGCACGTTGAAGCATTTTTGGCACACTATTGTGAGGGTTCATAAACACAAAGCATTAGTAGTGGATACATAATGCATGTGTGGGACTGTACCCTCTTGTTCTCATCTCTGTATGCTGCCATGGCTCTGCTGTGCTGGATCCTTTGCTCTCTTTCGCTGGACAGGGCGAGGCGGTCCACTTCTCGGAGATACTCGGCTTCCTTCACTTTGCCGGACAGCTGCAGCTTCAGTGCTGCACATTTCTCCTCTATTTGCCTCTTTAAGTGCTCTCGCAACTCCTTTCTACAGAAAATAATTATAACCTTTTGTTAACAATATTGTGGAAGTATAAAGGAGAATCATCAGTACAGATGGTGAAGCTGAAGCGGTTTTTTGTTTGTTTGTTTGTTTTGTTTACCTGTACTCTTCTCTCTCGCTGCCGGTTCCATAAAAAGGTTTCCGCCACACTTGATGATACCTGAAACATCAAGTCTGCACTTAACTCTTCAGGGTAAAGACTGAAATAGTGCAGGTGATTCTCTTTGAGGGATTCTCAGTAACACCTGTAATTTTCTCTTCTCTGCATGATCAGTGTCCTCTGGTGGTTGTGGTGGTGAACAGCTGGTGTCTCCAAACTGACGGTGCGTTTGTGGATCAAAGGTGGATGCAAGGGGTTCAATCGTGGAATAGTCTACAGAGCAGATACGAAATATATTTTCTTCTTTTGACCACAAAGCAAAATCACCTTCCCATGACACAGAAGGGTAGTCAGTAAATCTCTGTTCACCTGATTGCTTGTCCACATCCGGGCAGAGTCTGAGATGATGGGAAATGTCGTGGGAGTGACCATCAGGCAGCGACTCTGCCGGACAGGAGGTGTGTTGTGAGGGATACAGACTGGTGTGGAAGCTATAGAGATGGAAGCTGCAGTAATGAAGAAACAAATACAATCACAGCCCATGCTTGTAAAAACTATTAGTATCACTAAAATAGACAGCAAAGAAAAAATAAATCTCTTTCCTTACGTAGTTTCATCTTGTAGTTCACTCTGTTTCTTGCGTTTAATACCAGAAAAGTGGAGTCTTCACGTGCAATGAAAATTTCTTCTTAAAGTTGCTGTTAAATCAAAGCATTAAATGGCAACATAAATCCAAATGTAAATATAGCAAATTACCGTACTGGTGCTAGTTAGAGATTAAACCTTGGCATGCCGCTGCACTCGCTGAGTGTTTTGCAATGGCAACAGTTGCCTTGGGAATCAGGTTACCCCCCCAGCAAAAGAAAGCTGCTGCGTGGAAAGGCCATGCATCAGTGCACTCATAAAGAAAGATTATTAGCGTGTGACGATGGACTAACCAGATACAGTAGGAGGATGTCTCAGGATCACATCTGCACACAAAGGACCGACTCAACAAAACCAGGCAGGAGACAGACTGAGAAATGCACTTCATTTCAACTTTTAAATCACTTAAAACTTTTTATTCAACATGAAGTAAAACTTTTTAAAGACTTATCTTGGAACATCATTGCATAATTTTGTAGCAACAACTTTAAAACTGCAAGTTTATCATAATGCTAATAGAGTTACATAACTGCAACGTTTATGTGATTTTTTTTTGTTGTTTTTTTGTACCACAACAAATTGTCCTTGCGTCCTTGTTTCTCATACTTGATGATGTCTCAGATTCCCAGTGTTTCGTGGTTCTCCCACAGCCAGGCGTGGTATTTGTTTAACATGTGATCTTCAGGTGTCACCTTTGACATAAAAATACCAAGTAAATGTCAGATTTAGGATTGACTAAGACTACAAAACTAATGTGATCATGTAAGAGTTAAAACACTGAGATCACACCCACCTGTCTCCATTCTCCCACGCAGAAGATCCTGTAGGAGTCGTTGCCGTACTTCCCAATACCATGCAGCTCAATAGGGTAGCGCCACTGTTTAGTCAGATATTCATCTACGCAGGAGAAGAAAAAAAAGGTTGTGAGGTTTTCCTGGGCCCCCTTACATTGCTTCATATATTCTGATCAAAACCATAATAAAACAGAAGCATACTGCATGTATACAGATGCGGATGCTGTAATCCATTCCCAGGCGCATTTACCTGAGAAGCGGATGAGTGTTTTGGCTCTGAGCTCATACAGGCCGAGCGGCTTCATTAGCTCAGACATGGGCTTCCAATCGGCCTGCCGGGTCATCTCTGCAGATGGGTAACGCTCAAAGAACTGCCACAACACTGGAATGGCCATCTTGCCTGTATTGAATACATGAGTGACATGGCAGGTTTAAGAACTGGTTGATACAACTTCTAGAAGTTTGCAATGGCTGTACATCTGTCTCCTACCACTCGTCTTGTTGAGAAAAACAGTGGCCACCAGGAGCTTCCATGGGTCATGGAAAAGGGTTTCCTGTACAAGGTTGAAGGGAGACCGAGGGGGCGTCCACTTCTTAAACGCTTTCCTCCTAGGCGCGGCAAGTCCTGAGTGTACAACATGTATATTTCTCTTAACACATCATTTAATTTTTCAAATGTTAATATGCATGTCCTACATACAAATGCACATAAGTTTATTGTATCAAATAACCCATTCAAACATTACCATCTCTGAGAGGTTTCCCACTGAAGTAAGGGCTTGTTTTGCGTCTGTCTTCTACACTCTTGGACTCTAAGCAGAAATGAAACATTTATGTGTATTTAAAAATTAAATCAGCAATTTCTTATGTCACGCAAGGAAGTGGGACAATATTTAAGAAGCCACTTACCAATAAAAGAAAAATCACTAAATGCTTGCTGGTATGCATTATAAAGTAAGCAAGCAAGTTTATTCATTTAGTTACTTATCATACAAAGAGGCTATTTAAAGGTAAAAAATAAAAAAAATAAAAAATTGGTGTAAAAGATAAAATACAAAATGATTTTAAAAAATTTAAATACATAAATCCAAAACAGTGCAGACATGGTGCACAGAAAGTTTATAGAATTGAATGTATTTAATTAAAACTGACTCACCAAAGCAGCTAAGAAAGACAAAAGATAAAAGAAAAAAAACGTAAAAGATAAAGTACACAATCAGTTATGAAAATAAATAAAATAAAGTGAACAATGTTCAGACATGTTTGATAAAAATGCAGGCAGTTTCAGGCACTTTAGACCAGACTTTATAATATAACTAATTACATAAAAGCAGTGGAGATAAGAACTGTCTTCAGCTTATTATTATTAAAATATTTAACTGTAAAGTAATAACAGGATACTTTCAGACACCACTGAAAAATCACACTTTACATTTTTGGGTCACAGCCTAAGCTAAGTATCTAATGGAACTATGTTTTGGTGCCTCTAAAGAAATTCTCTGTTGGTTACAAATCATATTAGTAGCCTTCATCAGGTGTATTAGGGCTATGTTTTTGGAACTTGATCCTACCCCATATAAATTATGGAATCAAAAAGGATATGATGGAGCAAATCACGTATGCACTAAGCTCCATAAGCACACTTTTGTGGTGGAGTCCTGTAATGGCCTGCTAAATGCAGCACTGTTCCATTCCATGTTCTTCCATGCTTCTGTACACTACTGACATGCCATTTGTCCTGTGATGGTAGACTGTTCTTCTCCGCTCTGACTGACACTTTATTATAATATTATTTTTCTTTTTTATCACTTAATGTATCTGGCATCTTTGATTTTTTTCTTTCTTTCTGTATTTATATCTGGAAAATGCTGGTATAAAGTGGATGATGTGTGGAACAAATGTGGAACTGTATTTTTTAAATACACAAATAACAAGTAAACTAAAGAAATTAAAAGCTTTAACAAGCTGTCACACACCCTAGATCATACTTACTATTCTGGGACTCCCTGATGGGTGTACAGCTCCCATCTGTGATGTCAGCTAACAACACCTCCTCTTCCACATGCTGAAGACTGTCAACGTCAGCCTTCAGTTCAGAATTAGGCTTGTCGTCACCTTTGCTGTGAATCTGTATCTCATCTGCGTCTGGCTCATCCTCACCTTCGTTCACGCACTCAGTTTCACGTTCAACTTTTAAAGTTGGGACTGAAGGCTGTGAGTCTGCCTGTTCATCCTTGTGAACAATGATGATGCTTTCTTGATTGCTGGAAGGTGCCAGTCGAAGTAGCTTCTCTCTCAGCAGCCCCACTCTCTGTGGGCTCTTCTGTAGTTTTGGATCATCTACTTTTCCTGAAGGTGCAGCTTGTGAGCAGCCAGCCTCATCAATTTTGTCTCTACAAACTTCTAAGACTTGTGTGATCTTCTCTACTTCATTATGGCCAGTATCTTCTGCACTCTCTATGTTTCTGTCTTTAGGATCACTTACAAGGGAGAAAGAGGCCTTTTTAAATTTATTTGGGGGTGGATCCAGAATTTCTTTTACATCTTCTCTTTTCTCCTGCTGTACATCTGCATGTTTTTTCTTTCGTCTCGCTTGCTTTACTCTGGAAGGGAGTATTTGTGAAGAAGAGGCGACATCATCTTTGGATGTGGTGAAATCAAAGAGGCTAATGTCTAAATTCCCTTTCCCACTTTTTAGGAGGAAGGCGTGCAGGGATGCTCTTGATCGGAACCTCTGCCCCTGGGGACTTTAACAACAGAAATATCACACACTGATGTAACTGCATCTGTGATACACTTAGTCATAATCCGAGGTGCAATAACCTAGAGGCAGGATTACAAGAAAACACTGAGTCACCTTGTAATGTAGACATCCAGCTTGCCTGCTGTCTTGCCCGCTTTCCGCTGTCTCACTTCTTTCATCCAGCCAGGGGGCATTGCAGAAGTGTGCCAAGAATCAGGCTCGTCCTTGTGACTTTGGTTATTCACGTCTCTCCTGGTCTCCAGCTCCATTTCAAAGCCAGTGGGATGTATTTTGAAATGTGTGTTGTTTTTGAATCCAGCTGTGGTGCAGTCAGAGATAAAGCTGATTGCCTTTAAGTTTACTGTCCAGTGGTTGACTTTTTACTTCCACATCAGCAGCCATATCTGGTCTGTGTCATCTGTAAATGGAATATACAACAACATTTAGATGGCATCTGTCCACTTTACCGTATCACATAAAACTGAAAGTATCTCCTCATATCACAGAGAGCAAAGCGCAAAGTTATATCTAAGGTTACATACATGAATACCGTTCTACCTCGGACTCATTTCGTTGTATAGCTTGGTGCCTTCGCTGTCCTCCTCGTTATTTTCTGATGTAAACACAGCAGTGGAAGTCCAGTCATGGCAAACACACACACACACAGGAAGTAGCGAGGAGATTTGAGTCTGCGCAGTGCGAACGAATCATGACAACCGAGCTTAGTATGAAAAACCCACCGAACGAGCAGCAGCAACCTGTTGATAAAACAGCAGACAGCGCTTTTTGCAGTTAAACGGTGGAAATGAGAGCCGTTCTGGTATGGAAAGAAACATTCCGTGAACAATGGTGAGATTCTCAGTGATTACGTCTAAGCCATAGACCTAGGACTGATGCAGGGTTGTAAGGCTAGATGGTTAGCAACGGTGGTTGCTATGTAAACTAGTGTTAGCTAGCCCACTAGCATTAGCACCACAACAATTCAAATATAGTCAGCAATTGAGGGACACATTGAGGACAGTTTACATGTTTTTCATATAAGTTATCATGCTGAATATTCGTTCTAGAAATACTGTAGCGTGTCGGCATTCTTTTGCAACGCGATATAATTTTGGGCCATAGCTAACGTTGATGTTAAGCTAGCTAGCGCTCATTGACGTTGGATGTTATTCGTTCCTGCACAACTACTTGCTGTGAATTATGTTTCTTTTTATAAAGCTACGAAACTAACAGTACCCAAGATAGCAGACCTTTGTTTTATCATTAGTTTATGTTTACATAATAACGACATATTACCATCACCGCAACCGACGAGTCATGTCATTTTTAGGGTCCGAGGACCCCTACTTATTAAAAAGCTATTTTATTGGGTTGGGTTTCTGAAGCTGCGACTTTTAACTTTTGCCTTCAGATTTAAAGTGCGAGTTGCTGAAAAACGTGGGAAATTATTTTTATTGTTATTTTCTTAAATCCTAGTGCCTCTTTAAAGGTCGCGAATAAAACTTTAAGCTCACTTTCACGTTTAATTAATCTACCAGTGGTTTTTAGCTTAGTCCTGCAATCTCCCAGTATTGAAAAACGCCCCTCTCTATGTTCCAGATCTCAAATTAAGATACTGTTGCCCTGGAACCTGAATCGTCCAAAAAAATAAAAAAATAAAAAAATCGAAAAATCCAGTTTATAGTGTTAAAAACAGACTGACAGACTTTCCATGACCCATGGAAGCTGCTGGTGGCCACTGTTTTTCTCTTGACTGTTTTCTTAGAGAGGCTGTCTCTTTTTTTTTCTGTGTATTTTCTTGAGACCTAGCAAAGGTGTTGAATGTTTGTTAAATGTGGACTCATAGAAATCAGATTTTTAACATGTTTAATTTTTGTTTGTTCACAAACATGTCTGATTTTTATTTTTATTTTTTGCAATCCTTTGTGCTATATCTTGGCATATGTACCTCCAATTGTAGGCTAGTGGAGCAGCGTGAAACTATTTGCAGGACTGTGTATTGCATCACCTCTGCGCACGTGTGTGTATGCATTTCTGTGCGAAGACACATGATTACAAAATGAGTAACACTTGGAACAAAACTCCTACATAGCACCACTAGAGGTCAAAAGCTCCCCTGGGAACAATTAATGTATGATTTCAGTGATGCATGGATCCCTAAAATTGTTGCTGATGGACTAATCAATTTCCTGAAATCCCATTTTAACACAAATCTGTTATTCTTTGTTGCAGTGTTTATGACCTTGCCTTCAAGCCAGATGGAAGCCAGCTCATAATTGCTGCAGGGCTTCGTGTCCTGGTAAGGCTTTCCTGTTTTCTTTGGCCTGGGAAGGCACATATCCAAAGAATATACACGTTGTTATTACAGATGATGTATTTTTGTTGCAGGTTTATGATGCAGCAGATGGAGCTCTTATCCAGCCTTTAAAAGGACACAAAGATATAGTATACTGTGTGGCCTATGCCAAAGATGGTACTTAACTAGTTTTACATTTGTATGCAACATTTTCTTGTATCAAATGGTCATCTTTTTTTTAAAATCTACTGCCATGTGCATTTTTTTTCCAGGCAAAAGGTTTGCCTCTGGGTCAGCAGACAAAAGCATCATCATCTGGACTTCTAAATTAGAGGGTATTTTAAAATATACGTAAGTGTCTTTTACTTGTCACTTTTGTATTACATTGTATTACTACAGAATAATGTACAAGTCTATTTTTTTTTTAAAGCTTGTCCTCTTAGGTCACCTCTTTTTTATTCATACAGTCACAATGACTCTATCCAGTGTGTTGCCTACAACCCTGTCACTCACCAACTTGCCTCGTGCTCTTCTGGTGACTTTGGTGAGTGCACCATGAGTTTATGTCAATACTGTATTTTGTAATCTTCACAGCATACTGTAAACCTATAAATATATTAAGTAGAGTAAATGCCCACTGGGATCACTGAACATTTTTGAACTTTTTACATTTTTAGGGCTGTGGTCTCCAGAGCAAAAATCTGTGAACAAGCACAAAGTGAGCAGCAAAATAACATGTTGCGGGTAAGTGAAGTCCATAGCTGGAACCTTCTGCAACAGTAGTACATTTTCATGTGATGCATTGATGTTACAGTGAGTCATTCAATTGCAGGTGGACAAATGATGGGCAGTACCTTGCCCTCGGCATGATGAACGGCGTGGTGAGCATACGGAACAAGAATGGAGAGGAGAAAGTCAAAATAGAGCGTCCAGGAGGCTCCTCCTCTCCTATCTGGTCTATAGCCTGGAATCCCTCTAAGTTAGTCCTTCTTAATTATCGTACATTAATATCTTAAAAATGGACTGATGTCTTATCCTAACCAATTTATTACATCTATTGCCTCATACTGCCACATACACTTTTGAACTGTCCATCAATGTTGCCAAGATTTCAAGGAATGATGTACAAATGGGAGTTTATTGCAGTTTAGGTGAATAATTTGTGTGACGCCAGCAGGTGGCACTGGTCAGCCAGAGAGGAGGGAACTGCCTCCTCTGTGAGGGAGAGGATTA